TCATCTCCTCAGATGACTAACAGATGCTTGTTATTCGCCGTCATTTACAAATATGAAAGTCTATATTGAAAAGGATTGATGGGTCTTCCGAGTGCTGTGAGCGACTGTGCAGGTCACTGTGCACTTTCCTAGCTGCTCCTAGAGCAGGTTTGCCTCCAACCCCTACTGGCACAGTCCTGCGGACACCAGCAGACGGACAGAATCACAGGCAGACACTGCCTGTGTCGTGTTTGCCGGATACCTGCTCGTGCCAGGTTTCTATCTCCCAACAAGTTCTCGAGGTTTCTGCCTGGTTGGCGTTGTTCTTGAAACAAAACCTGTGTTGACTTCCCGTTAGATGGAGCCTGATTTAGCAGGTTTTACAGTGCCCAGCCTGGAGACCTCCAACTTGTGCTTGCCAGAGTCTACCCTAAGAGCCTTCTCCGGTAGCCTGAGCCCACTCTGCCTGGGCATGGCCGCTCAGAAGTACTGGAATTTAATGCACCCCTGCCTTTCAGTGACTGATGGTGTATAACTACCACAGCTCCCTTGTCTCTTAGGTGGGAAATTCTGTGGTGCCTATTCACTGCATATTGGCTCCCAGAGTTTCTAAGAGGAGAGCATGACCTGGTCATCCACAGATGTCTCCTTTATAGCCTGCCTTCCCTTCCTTGTCTCACTTCCCCACTTCCCTGTCAGGTGTGTTCTGGGGTCACCTGCCACATAAACTACTTGCAAATGAATGCTCATCTAAGGGGGAAACCAAATGACAGCGTGTGGCAGGCTCTTTAGAAGGTTCTCTCTCCTGATGTGGAGAATGAACTGGAGGGGGAAGCTGGAGGCCAGGCGATCAGCCTGGAGCTGTGAGCAGCAGTCCCACAGAAGGTAAGAGAGGAGCCAACACCCCACTGTGTCTCAAAGACCAACACCTGCAGCAGAGCAGAGTGCTCCGCCAAGATATGGGTAAAATATTGTGACATTTAGAAGAATAGAAGTAGCCATCGTGGAAGTATCTAGACTTTGTTGACCTTCCTAGCACTTACTTTTTTTTAAATTGTTGTTGTTGTTGCTGTTATTACTACTTCTAAGGAAGCATTCAGTCAGTATTTGTTGAACGAATGAGGGAAGGAAGAGATGAATGACTCCTTGGCGGCTGGCTGGGTGGCAGGGCCATTCACTGAGAGAAGGCCCAAGGGAAAAAGAGCAAGTCTGGGAGGGGGGTGGGGCAGGCAATCTCCTCTGCAAACATATCAGATAACAGGGCACTCTGGGTACTTTCTGGAACTCAGGGTGCCGGGCAGGCGCGGGCAGGGGGATCATCAGACTATTTCATAGTCACTGTAGCACGTGCTCCTGTCAATCAGGAGGAATCCAGCCCCAGTGCCAGAGCTGAATCAGGGAGCCCCTGCAGAGCCAGATGATAACACTTTAGCTGTTGGATTATGGGGAGGAGGGGCAGGGGGTGAGGGTAGCCAGAAGCTTGGGCCTCTCACCCACTTAGGGGCTCGGGGCGGTGGATCTTCACCAACAGGTATAGTTGTATCCAGCGTGTACAGGTAAAGCCCGAGCCCTGGGCTTGAGGTCAGGCAGGGAAACCAGGCAGATTAGAAGACATCACCCAGCAAGTCAAGAACCCCAGCTCCTCCTTCCTGAGAAACATCAGGGCAGGCCAAAGACAGTGAGCACTTATGGGTGCTTACTCAGGGTGAGAACACCCTTTCTAGAGCTTCCAACAACTTAACTCAATAGAGAGTAGTTTTCCCATTACTCTCTCTGTTTTATAGATGAAGAAACAGCTGTAGGGAAAGGTTGAGTGTAGGGGATGATCTTCTGTAACTTGCCTATGATTACAAGGTTCTTTGGCGGCAGAGCCCAAATTCAAACCCACACCAAGGCCTGCCTATACTCTGCTGCCCTGCAGGTTGGGTATAAGGTGGAAGGCAAAGGGGAAAGTCAGCCAGTGAGGATGGAAGAGCTGTGAGGGGCTCGGTGGTGTCTCGGTGACCCAGGAGCTCAAGGAGTAATCAGAAAAGTGCTTCTCCAGCTGCTAGGTTAGGCAGAGATTGCACACATATACTTGCCTCAACTGGTGAGGTCTCTGCGGAATTGGGAGAGAAGGAGATATACATGAGGTCTGCAAGAGTCTGTGGCAAGAGAATGTGTTCGGTGGGTTTAAAAAGTGGGGAGCTTCATCTGTCTTTGAACTTCCAAATCCAAACGTAGTCCTGGGTACAAAATCATCATTCAAAAAGCATTTCTGAATGGATGAATGAATAAACAAAAGACCTGCTTGATTTTTCTCAAGCAAAGACCTGATCCCATATCTCATCTTCTTAAAATCTTCCCAACATATGCCACCAATTGCGGGATCAAGTTCAAATGCCTTCTCCTAGAATTCAAGGCCAGCGAGATCTCACCTCTGTCCTTCATCCACCACCACACCGCCCACACTTTGGCACTTCCTGTGCGTACTGGGATTTTTGTTTGTTTGCTTGTTTGTTGTTTTCTCGACTTCCTGAGTCCCCATTCTCTGGTCATTGTAAACCTCACATTCTGGGTGGAGGAACCGTTCCTTCTGCACAGCTCATCCTGGGTGGAGCTGCCAATGCCAGTTCCAGGCACACAACACAGGTGGGCCGGATCAAGTCCTTTCCGGGAATTAATATAGTCCCAGAAGGGAGAAGTCTCTTTCCTCTGAGGCCAGTCTCTGCGGTGGTGGGGCAACATAAGCCTGGGGCTGTCTGTGATCAACCCCTGCCACATGAAGAACTCTTGTTCCTCCCTGGAGGGAAGGAAGCCAAATAAAGAGAAAAGCAGAAGCAAGACAGCAGACAGACAGTCTCTCTCTCTCTCTCTCTCTCTCTCACACACACACACAGAACAGACTAAGTGACCACATCCCTTGAGTTTCTTGCATTCCCCATCCTTCCTCCTGGTTTCCACAGCCAATACATTCCTTTCTGCGTGTTTGCTGTTTTGTGTTTTTGGCTTGTGTCCCCGTTACTGACTAGCATTCAGCGGACGGTTCCCTGAGGTCCACGCTGTCTCCTTCTGGCACTTTCCACAGGTTCCGACAACACAGTGCCCGCCGTACCAAGTCCGGAGGTGCAGGGCATGTAAGAGGGGCTCTTGTGATCCATCCTCCTGGTTTCCTCGGTTCCCCTCCCGGCACCAGCATGGGGCGGGCTCTGACTAAAATGGATGGCATCTTCACTTGGCATCCTCAGGAGCCACAGGCCCCCTTCCTCTCTCAGTTCCTGTCCATTGCCAGGCAGCTCCCAGCCCCGTCAATTTGGTAGGTGCGCCGGTCCTCCACAATCCACTTCTGGGACTTTCCAACCTGTAAGTGCCTTTGATTCTATGACTCATTAGAGATTCTCATCACTCTTCCATTTAGGAAGCCCCTAAGTGGAGGTTCTGGGCTATGTGATTTTTTCTTTTTTGTCCTCAGTTTCCTTCCTACCTCAAGGACTATTTGGGTGGATTCTGTTAGCTGACTTTCTGGGCCAGCCCAGCTGAATGGGAGGAAGTATCCCGGCATGCCCCTCGCCTGGTGATTCTGTGTCTCCTGCGGGGTCGAGCCAAGAGCCAGAGCATCACAGACTTGGAGCTGGAGGGGGCAGACAGGCAGCCTCCTGCAGTGGCTCCTTGCAAAGAGCTGACACAGACGGAGTCTGAAAGTAGCCCCACCACTCACCAGCTAGGCGACCTGGAACAAGTGACTTCCTGAGCCTCAACTTTTTTTTTTCTTTCATTTGTAAAGTGGAGCTAAAAATACCTACGTTGCAGGGTTATTAAGAAAGGTAAGTGGGTCTTATAATAAGGCTGATGTTTAATAGCTGGGAGCTGATATTAGGGTTTTTTTATCCCAACCTCCTTGAAAGAACAAGGCAGGCTTGCCCAAGGTCATGCGTTGCGGCAGTCACGGTTCACCGCGTTTGCCCTGCCCAGGTTCTTCTGCCCACCCCACGCTGCCCCCACCAAGGGGGACACAACAGGCAGACGCGCAGGAGCATGCCGGGAAATCCTCCCGTTCTCTGATCATCTCCTGAGGGCTGTGTAGCAGGGGCAGGGTGAGCAAACCCGCCCCGGGGCCACTTCCACATCAGCGGTGGAGAATAAAGGAACTTATAGGGCAAAGAGTCAAACAGAAGAAAGTGCCTGGAAAAGCTGTTTTTATGTTCACTTACATGGAAAAAAAATCAAAGTATACAGCACGAAGATATATGCGTCTCAGAAAAATTCATCCTGATGAACCTGTTGGTTCAACGGCAGTTGTAATCCGAGAGTTGCCCCATGGAAGTCATAAAATTGGGGGTGGGGGCAGGGGGAAGGGCCACCAAGGGAAAGGTAGTTATTATGCGCTATTTCTCTTCTAGTTGCAGATCATTTGGAGTTTACGCTTTTCCAGCAAGTCAGAGTCATATAAACAGGTGCCATACTAAAATGATTGGGTAAAAATATAAAACTCCTAAAGCACGATGGCAATAATATTTTAGGAAATAAACAAAAAGGCTGGTAATATCAGAAAATCCAAATGGGGTTATTCGAGCAGTTCTGTCTGAGCAGCCAAGGACGGCTGTATATTACGGATGCATGAAGAGTAAAGCGTTCAGTCGGCACACAGAAAGGGGAACATGTCTAAACACTGACTTTGTGAGAAAACATGAAGGACATCTTACACTCAGCAGCGATGGTTAAAGGAGGAAATTACTTTCTGAAGGATGCAGGGGGCAGGATGCCAAGGCCTTTGTTTTCAACTTGCTCTTAACCGTGTTGGGATGTGTTCACACTGCACGGGGTCCCCTGCAGAATCTAGCACCAATAGATGGATCAGATTTTATTTGTGATCTGAGTCCTTTATGTCTTCAGTTTGGAGTGTATTGAGGTATGTTTTCTTTGGTTGCTGTTGTGACGAATGTGTAATAAAAAACATTTACAACATTTAAACCTTTTAGATTTCAGTGTCAACTCTTCACATAAGGAAAACTGGAAAACGCTTACGAATCATTGGAAGGTCATTACTTCCTGGCATCTGTCATGAAACTGTTTTCGATACACAGAACAATGAGCCTATTAGCACAGCTATATGTTTTCTGGTCCAGAATCTTCCCTGTGCTCAGTGGGGAGGCCAGTCCCGTGACTGCCATGTCAGCCGTCCGCCACGCTTCACAGTAGTTATCCACAAGACGCACTCCGTGGGGGCTGGAGCCATGCCAAATGACCTTCTGGGGCCTGCAAAGGAATTGCGGCACATTACTTTTGAGATGTCACTTCTTCGTGGTGTACCTCACCGAAGAACAAACTGGCATAAGTCATGAATCAAGTCCAACTCTTGAGCCCTTCATGGTCTGACCCCACCACTGGGAGCTTCACTCTTTCCGACTAGCTGAACACCCTGTCCTCCAACCCCACCAGGCTCGTACCTGTTCTCAGCCCATACTCTCCGCTTTCGTGAATCGGAACCTTTGCTCACAAGGTCCCTTAGTCTGGAGTGGCTTCTCTTTCATTTTCAGACCCGGGATTCCTTCTGGTCTTTCAAAGTCCATTAAATGCCCCCTCTTACAGGCTGCTTTCTTGACTGTCAGCCCCAAATAAGGATAAATCTTTCTTCCATGTGTCCATCATAGTATCTGTTACTCCATTTTACAATTAACAGTGTTCCATCTAGAACTGTAGCTAGCTGGTGACTGTCCTCCCCTATAGACTGTGAGCCTTGTAAAGGTTTGGGGTCATGAGGCTTATTACTATGCCTTCCAGGTGGGCATCGGGCAGACACTGAGGAAAGCTTTGCCAAGTTGTTCTAATCTTTTTTTTTTTTTCAATGAGGGGCTTGAACTCACGACCCTGAGATCAAGACCTGAGGCGAAATCAAGAGTCAGACACTCAACCGACTGGGCCACCCTGGCGCCCCAACCAAGTTGTCCTAATCTTAATAGCACACACCGTGTCCAAAGACTTAGAGCACAGTTCACAGTACGGGGTTAAAGGACCGCCAAGAACAGCATTCCTTACCACTCGCTGAGCGCCTACAGCACGCTAGCCATTCTTACACTTGTCATCTTATGCTCACAGCAATCCTGTGGTACAGATATGATTATCTTGCCCATTTCACAGGGAGGCAGCTGAGGCTCAAAGAGTGGAGGAAATTTGAAAGGTCCCTTATTAAGGTACTGGCCTCAGGTCTCCTGGCTGCAAGGCCAGGGGCTCTCTCCACGGCTCTCAGCTGCCTCGCTGAGGCTCTGTGCTAGCAACAGCCCCGAGGGGCAGCCGGTAAAAGCATCCCATCGTTAGAATGTCTCCTAAAACTGTCTATCACACCATATACCCGCTACTTACCAGGAAGGATCCTTCATCACGTCTCGGCCATCAAAGGAATATATTGGAACGTGTGTATTGAACTGACCTCCGTGGCCAGAAAAAATTGAGTCCCAATTGTTGAAAAGTACTTGGCCCTGTGGAGACAGAAATGCCACATGGAGTCACCGTGCTATGGGCCTGCTAGTGGACTAGCTATTTATTCGTTCTTCAAGGCCGAGAGGCCACCCCGTGCCAAAGCCACCAGCCCCAATCGGAGAGCCCGGACAGAGCAGGAACTCAGGAAATGTCTGTGGTTTGATTTTACAATCCATCCTTGAACCCTTTTGGTTTTATTCCTTATTTCTTGAGGTACTTTCTCTTATTATAGGTGTATAAAGTCTCCTCCCCATCAAAACTGTGTTTTAGGTCTTTATTAATTCTTGCCTTTAAAAATTTTCTACATATATATACACCAAACTTCAAATTTGTGCCAGGGCTTATCCAATCTGCACTGTAGGTGATACAGAGATGACTCTCTCACTCCCTTTTCCTGAAGGAGCCCAGTTTCCTTCAGTTATTTGTATTCCTAGAATACTGGTCATCTGAGTGGGCAAATGTGGCAGAACAGAACCTCAGGGAAAGAGACGGAAAGGGCCAGGTGTGGGGTCCGGAGGTACCAAACTGGAGCATGGGGGTCGCAGGGACTTAAGGGTCTCGAAGTACCTGTGAGATACAGTGAGAGGTCAGGGTCTAGGATGTGTGTGAGCAGAAAGACGGCTGTCCCTCTGAGGCCTTAAAGGAGCCGGCTATTTCCATGGTGAAACAGGGGCCATAGAAGGCCCTGCCTTACCAGCGAAAGGGGGCAGAGAATTATCTGCCAGGTTTGGGCAGCTTAGATGTGCCGAGAGGACCAAAGTAGGGGGCAGGACAATGTGGCTCTGGTTTGGGACCAGTGCTCACCAGTTCTCCTCTGGTGCCGTCCAGCCCACGCCCTACAGAGAGCGGCCTCGGGTGGAACTGGGAGCCCCAGACTGGGTGTCAAGGACCTGACTTCTGGTTTCTAGTGACCTCCGGCAAACTCCTTTCTCCCTCTGTGCCTCAGTTTCCACATCTGACAATCTGAGGAAAAAACAACTCCCTCTTTTATTGGAAGCATCTATTAAGATTACGGATATAAAGTACTTTGTACTTGTCTGCTCCAAGAGTTGTACCGTCCAACCAGGAAGGGCCGTGGTAAATGTCAGGAAACTGAGGCACAGAGAGGTTCAACTGACCCACCCAGGCACAGAGCCAAACAGGGACAGGTGGGGTCTGGAACCAGCATGCTTCTGATGATGGCAGGGAGTGGCAGCTCCTATGGTCCCTGTGGAGCCCAGGGCCTCCAGGAGACAATGGGGAGATTATTTATGTTTACCTTGAGGTTCACTATTGGAAGGCTGTATCTCTCTGCTTTCCTCACAACCGTGGAGAGGTCTTGCAGATGGGAGGATAAGAAGGCCCGGTAGGTGGACAACAGCCCTGCAGCCCTGGCCTGCTGGAAGCACTGCAAATCAGCTCGAAGGTCTCCGGAGAATGGTGTGTTCAGAGCAACCAAGTGCAGCTAAAAAAGTAAGTGAGAGTTAAAAGAGTTAGAAGCAAACTCCAACCCACATGCCCATCTCAGGTTGCTAGTATGACCCCGGACTCCCTGGGACGGAAGGCGCTACAGGGGGTCTCACTGAGCCTCTTCCCGGGGTGGCGTTCCAGCCCCGGCCTGACCAAATCTGAGGCAGGAGAGCTCGGAGCCCAGGCAGCGGGCTTCGGCTCTCTGAACTGCTCTACATGGTGGAGAAAACAAAACAAAATAAAGCACTTCAGAGATCTGAATCCAGTGTGCAGGCCATTTGCTGGAGACTGCTGGGTCTGCCCTAGTTCAGCTTCCAAGAGGGTTTTAAGCCAGCTTTGGTACGGGATCCCAGAGCTCTGCCAACCAATCTGGCCTTGCCCTTTCCTCTACCTCCTGAGTAGGCTTGGGGCTGATCGTGAGGGACCAGAGGGAAAGGCACTGAAAGGAGAAGGTTATGACATTTCTTGCTAAGACTTCCGGGTAGACCCTTTTAGGAACTAGGGGTTACACTGTAACACGAGCCTCACATTCCTGCCACCTTGGGCAGTAGCCAAAATAAAAGTCCTTCATAGTGTTTTCTCCCACACTTTCTCTCCCTAAACCCATCCCTCTCTCCCGGCCTTCGTGCTGTGCCCTCTAGAATACATGTGTCCAGGAGTAGCCGTCTCTCTCCTCGATGTCACCTCAGGAGTGACTTTGTTCTCACCATCAGAGAGCTGGGGAGGGCTGGTGCAGACCTTGGGCCCAAGTCTCCAGAAAAGAAAAATATTTCAAAATATCTTAAACCAAAAGACATGAAATGAGCCCTGTGGGGTGAGGCAAGAGGTGGTCTGTGCTCCTCCCCCCATTCCTGCGCTGCCTCTCCGGTCTGAGCATCTCCAGCACCAAGCTTCTACATGGCCCGACACCAGGGGCCGCCATATTGGCATCCTCTGGCTCATCAAGGGTCCGGCCAGGTGGGCACAGCTCACTATGAACCACAACATTCAGACTGCCCCATGCAGTCCCTGCACTTCTCGGGGCATTCTTTTCTGTTTCACCACCCCTTTCCTTCCCCATTTTGAAGAGAAGAGACTCCACGCATGCCACATCTCCCAATTTCTTCCTGTTTATTCATCCCTGGTTCGGCCTGTATCACCACACTAGATAGAGGTCCAGGTGAAGCACACCCCCTGCCCCCCACCTGAGACAAGGCTTCCCCTGCAGCACCCCCAGCAGCAGCCTGAGGATGGGGAGGGGGCTGCAGCATGCTGCTCACTCACCATGACTGCTTTCAGGCCACCAGACTTCCAGCCCCACAAAAGCTCTGTCTTCCTCCCTCCCATGGATCTGCAGACTAGCACCCCAGCGATGAGGCCCTATGGTCTCATCACCCTCCAACCAGCACGCTTCTGCTGGCTAGACCCAAGGGTGGTCAGCAGAAGATGGCATGCCCATAGCAGGGGACACCTAGGGAAGGTACAGAGGTACGTGCAGAGCTTCCCTGCCATGCCTCCAATCCTACCCATCTCCACCTCTCCTTTTTTACAAAGAAACATAAAGAACTGTCTGGAATGATGGGTGTTTCCAAATGGCGAGACTGGGGGCTTTTGTGCCCTCATGTCTGTATTTCTCTAAGGGCTGGGACATTTTAATAACAAATATGCTATCGTTTTTTATGAAGACAATACTGTTTCAACAATCAAGTGTTAAAAGGTTGATCTGGGGGATGGGTGTAGTTTTGGTAAAGTTATCGGGGATTTGCTGTTTCCTTCTCCATTCTTTTTACTTATTGTCCAAATTTTCTACAAAATACATATGATTTTAGTATATGTGCTGCCGAAGCGAGCACAATACATATGATTTTATAATTTATACAATACTATTTAAAAAAATCCTTCAGCTGCTGCCCTAACTTCTCCCCTTCATGGCTGAGCTTTTGGAAGGGTTACCTCCACACGCTTCTCTCTTTCCTTATCTCACCTCCCATTTATTCCTCAAGCAACTGGAATCTTGCTGGCATCTCCCCATGCCCCAGATCTGCTCTTCTCGGGGCTTCTAAATTTGGAAGACACCGTTTTGTTCTTTTGACGGGCCTCTTGGCAGCACCTGATGCTGCTGGCTTCTACCTTGTTTGGCGTTCTTTCTTCCTCTCGGGGGCTATGGCTTCTATTTGTCCCCATGGTTCTTCCATCGGTTCCTTTTTGCTTTTGCTCCTCACACTCCAATGTCTGCTCAATGCGCAGACACTGTTTTGGGAATCCTACCACCCCCTCACCCTTGCCATGGCTCAGAGGAAGCCTCCTAGGTCTTTATCTCCAGACCAGGCCCCCTGATCTGACTCCCTCTGGGCGGCCTCCACTCACATATCCTACGGGGACCTCAGACTCACTGTGCCCCGATGAGGTCCTGCCTGATGAGTGGCAACACCACAGGAAACACATTTCTGGTGCGAGCCCAGGCCTTGTTCTTTGAAAATGCCCCCACAACACTTGCTCAGAAGAGTGGCCTTAGGCCATTCAATCTCATTCTCTTGGCTACGTTTGATTTGGCGGGGAGTGGGCAATGAGGCCAAGATGACCTATGTAGACAGCCTCTCCCCGGACCCTGAACTGCGTCAGGCAGTACCAGGCTCTGCAGCTGTAAGATCACCTGGAGTTGAGGCCATGATCAGTGCCACGGCAACTCAACATGGCATGCAAGCTTTGTGGAGGTGACCTATGTCTCTGTGTTGGGATGGGGGAGGAGAGAAGGCAGGAAGAAAAAGCCTTGCAGAAACTGCTCTGTACTGGAGCAGACTAACAGCAGGGACAGGAGTTCCACGGGCCCAGTTGCACCTCCTGCCGTTAAGTGTCAGGAGGTTCCTGCAATTATCTGAACAAGATCTTCTCTTAAGCTAGTAAAGGAAAAGAGTCAGAGTTTTAATTCTGGCAACAAAATGATCCTTGGGAAGGAAACCAGCACCACGCAATTATCCAAGCAGAAACTTGGGCATCATTCCTGACCTCCCTCATCCTCACGGCCCCATATCCATACCAGGGACCAAATCTGTCACTTCTGCCTTTTTATTTTCTCTCCAGTCTTATTTTTCTACATGTTCACTGCTGTGATCCTGGTTCAAAGAATACAACAGCCACCTGTCTTTGGGCCCCTGGGCCTGTCCCTGCCGATCCATTTGTACACTGTAACCAAGGTAATTTCTGAAATGCCAATCTTAGAGACCCTTTCCTTGTTTAAGACCCTTCAGTAGCTCCCCATTGTCTGCTGCAACAGGTCAAAGCCCTTAGCTTGGCTTACAGGCCCTTGATGACAAGCCCTTGTCCTCTGCAGACTAAACTTCTCCCTTCTCTGCCTTAAAACCTGCCTCTTCAGCCAGACTGAAGTACCTGCCATTACAGTTACACGAATGCCCATGCCCAGCACTCCCCCTTGACCCCCGCTGTTCCAAATCCCCCCCTGCCTTGAACATGCCCACTCTCTCCCTCCCAGCTGGCTCTCTCCTGCTCTCAACTTTCCTTTAGGTCTTAGTTTAGAGGCTCCCTCCTCTAAAGAAGGCAGAATTCTTTGACATTCCTCGTACCCCCAGCACCCTGTGTGCACCTCGCCTCACTGACCTACCAAATACTGTAACTACCTGTTTGCCCCTCTATGCATCTTGAGGGGAGGGCCCGTGCTCCAAGCACGCAGCAAGGACACACTAGACACGCACGCAGCATTTGCTGGGAAAATGCATGAACTGTACTTACTGCAGGCCTCTCGTAGCCGACACTTGAAAGCGGCATCAGCGGAGGTGGTGGCTGATGTGGCTGTTACATAAAAGAGGAAAACAAACGGTCCTGAATAAGCATCCAATCTGTTCTTCAGAGTGCACCGAGGTGCAAGTGTGATACTTTACATAGTCTGTCATTGTCTTCAGGCCACTCTTAACTGCCAGGAGTTTCATGCCCCCCCGCCCCCCATGAAGACATGATCCTCAGGAAGGGAGGGGATATTCTCCAATCTTTTACAGAGAGCACTGAACCGAGGAAGCAGAAGACCTGTGTCTTAGAGCCAACTCATCCATTTCACAGAGCAGTCAGCAACTCAGAGCCTCAGTTTCCTGAACGGCAGGGTGGGGATAGCAAGACCTGCCTCAAAGGGTTGCTGTAGGGTCAAAAAATGGACAATGGAAGTTGCCAATGTTCTTATCAGGCAAAGAAGTCTCAGAGTGCAAAAAATAAAGGGCTCTTCTAGATCGCGTACGCCAACCATGATTTCACAGGGGAATAAACTGAGGCCGAGAAGCGCTGGAAGCCCATTGCCCAAGAGGATTCAGCTACGACACGGAAATAGCAGGTCTCCAGCCTCTGGGTCCAGTTCCTGCTCTGCTCTCCTGTGAGAACATTCTGTTGGCACTTGGTAATTTCTGGCCTTCTGTCAAATCCTAAACCATGCAGAGGTGGCTGGCCAGAGTTTGCAGAGCTTGGTTCTGGACACCAAGGGGGATTTCGTGGATGCTGATGAGCAAAGGAGCGAGAAGTAAGGTAGGATGACTACTCACGTTGCTGGAGAGCGCAGGGGGCGGTGGGCTGTCAGCGGGAATGGGGATCAGTTCTCCTAGCTTCAAGAAAACAGTACATTGAAAATGAAACATCCACTAGAGATTGTTAGCCTATTTTCAAAACAGGAAAAATGGCATTTCCAGGGGCAGTTTATTATTTTTAGAGGGTATCTGGAGGCAGTTTGTTAAAAAGAAGCTCAAGAATTAACCTGTAATTTCTTCCAACCATCTCGGACCCGAATGAAGAACTCAGTGCTGTCTCTCAGGTAGATGAACGTCCCTTCAATGACCAAATGTGCTTTCTGCAGCATGTCATCCATGGTGCTAAATGCCGTAACCTGTCAGAAAATTTTCCATTCCCAACAGTGTCATTATCGTTAGAGCAGTGGCACGATTTGAAAAACCGGCTGTCGCAAATTCAAACAGGAGTCATCCCCTGTCAGCCAGTGAAAAGGCTCTTTGTGCCTTAGAGACATATGTAACTTCATTCATAGCCAAAGGACATTCTTTAGGAGGAAACAAAAACACCAATTGGTTTGGAGCACAAATCTGAACTGTAATAAATCAATGAAAACAGGAAGATGATATTCTAGGAGCACAAAGACAGTTAGAAACTGTACACAGAGTTGTCTTTCTTGGGTCTTGGTATTAGCAAAACCATGGGTACATTTTCCCACTTGCATCTGTGTGAGCCACTCGGTGGCCGTGACGTTGTTAAATGTGTTTAACCCCTGCTTGTCCTTAAAGAGTTTCGAGTTTAATTCGGAATAAGAAATGCAAGCCGGTGAGCAATTCTGCTTAGGTTTTGAATCTTTTTTGCCCAGCTGGGTAGTTGTAATATTAAATACATACGAGAGGCAGTGGGGGTCTGTAATTTCTCGGTCTAGAAAATGGACAAAGATTAGCTATCCATCTGGGCAAATCCAAGAGCAGCCACAAAAGCTACTGAAATCTACTGAAAAGCATCACACCTCTGAGAAATATTGGCCAAGAGAGCTTTTATTTTTCATCTCAACTGAGAAAGATCATAAAAAGTTAATTTTCACCTAGCCTTGAAAATAATGACTTTGTGCATTGAAATGGCTTAGACATCCGCCAAAGGTGCCAGATAGCAACATTCTGTCAGCCGCTAGCTGGTTTTTTTCTTTGGCAGCCACATTTTCCAACTAAAATCCAGCCAAGATCCCAGAGCATTCCCAGGACTCCTGACATTCGTGTGAGGTGTTTGTCCCTCTTCCTGTGCATAGTAATAATCTCAGAGTGCTACACTCTGCGCCCACGGTGTGCAGGGTAACAAAGGTATGGGAGATATCCCCGGGGAAGGAGCAAGAAGGCGGAATGACCCAGGGGAGATCTGACCAGCAACGGGGCCTGCTGGGATCCTGTTGATACTCTGGTGCCTATGGTTTCGGATGTAATCGAATTGGTTCTTGCGACAGCTTAGTCAATTAAGGATTAGAAGGGTGGAACCGAAGTCATAACTGAGTTTGTATTCTGTATCTTGGTACTTGGTAAGTCACCTAAAGAGATCATATATATTCCCTGTGTGTGGAATTGTTCCAATTCTATGGCCACGGAGGCCTAATTCTTACCTAAAAGGTGTGCCAGCCCCTACACACTTATAGCTGAAGTTCTAAGGAAACCCACCCAGAGCAGAAGGAGGAACATGCACTGATAATAACACTGACCAGATTTCTGGATCCGGGAAGCCCTGGCTGTCCTGGAGGGCCGGGTGGGCCCGGAAGGGCCACAGCTAAGACAAAGCAGAAAAGACGAGTTACAAAAAGGCACCCTCTCTGCAAAATGGCTCCAGTGTCGGCTGGCCACCGAGGGGAGCACTCACAGCCCCATTCAGAGCGCCACAGAGCATTGCGCCTTGCAAAGTGTACCTGGGGGGCTGTGGGCCCAGCCCGGGACTCAGCCACAGTGACAGGTTTGGGATAGAGCAGGGATTCTTGACCGTAGCCCTGGATGAAACCACACTAGGACTTTTCAGTTTTGTAAGTGAATGCATTCCTGTTGTTTTTGTTGTTTGTACAGGTCAGTCTGAGTGGAGTTTCCAAAAATGTCCTGACTCGTGCAAGTTACCTCAGCCTAGAGACAAGCAGGGAACTGCTGAACGGAGGAAGCAGGCTCAGAAAGAGGAAGAGAGGGGCGCTTGGGTGGCTCAGTTGGTTGAGCGACTGCCTTCGGCTCAGGTCATGATCCTGGAGTCCCGGGATCGAGTCCCGCATCGGGCTCCCTGCTCGGCAGGGAGTCTGCTTCTCCCTCCGACCCTCGCCCCGCTCATGTGCTCTCTCTCTCTCTCTCATTCTCTCAAATAAATAAATAAAATCTTTAAAAAAAAAAAAAGAAAGAAAGAGGAAGAGAAGGTGCTGGGCTGCAGAAGCAGGGCAAGCGGGAGCCTTGGCCTTGGGGCGGGGAGACCCAGACTGCAGCCCCTGAGCTGTCGTTTCTCAGCCGTGCAATCTCAGGGACACAGTAAGCCCTGAACCCCTGCTTCCTCACCTGTGAAATGTAAACCAGCTTTTCCTTTTCACTAGGCTGTGGTGAGAACAGAGAAAAGATGGAAACTAGGGATGTGCCTTGCACAAACTCCACAGCATCCAGCCAGAGGTTTGCAGTGTTTGAAGAGTCCGTGCCCTCTTCCCTAGAAAAATGCACCTGCCCGTGCTCTCCTTCTACCTCTCCAAACCCCGTCCCCCCCAAAAATCTGCAAAGCTCTTGGCACTTCAGGATGATTTTGCAAATCCCAGTAAAATCATTCTATGAGATTTTTCAGGTGCAAGTTAAGTCCGCAGTTCTTTTTTTTTTTTTTAAGTTTTTTTTTATTTATTTGACAGAGCACAAGCAGAGGGAGAGAGAGGGAGAAGCAGGTTCCCTGCTGAGCAGGGAGCCCGATGTGGGGCTCGATCCCAGGACCCTGGGATCATGACCTGGGCCGAAGGCAGCCGCTTAACCGACTGAGCCACCCAGGCGCCCCTAAGTCTGCAGTTCTGACACAGGACTTGAAAATCATTAAATAGGGCGCCTGGGTGGCTCAGATGGTTAAGCGTCTGCCTTCGGCTCAGGTCATGATCCCAGGGTCCTGGGATCGAGTCCCGCATCGGGCTCCCTGCTCCTTGGGAGCCTGCTTCTCCCTCTGCTTCTCTCTCTCTCTCTCCCCCTCTCTCTCTCCGTCTCTCATGAATAAATAAATAAATAATCTAAAAAAAAACAAAAAGGAAAATCATTACATAGATGCTGAATGTCTGGTGAAGAGAGGGTCGGAGGACTTGGACTTGGACCCCAGCCAAGCCTTTACTAGTATTTGTGACCTTGAGCAAGTCTCCTAACCCCTCTGAGCCTCAGTGTCTTCATCCATGAAATGAGTTTTACAGTAATATCCATTTCCTCTCCCTCCCAGGGTCGCTGTGAAGATTAAGTGGGCTAATTGATAGGAGAACATTTTGTAAGCTGTGGATGGCCGTGCATTAGGTGAGAGGCAGTCCTTAGTCAGTGGAGCGAGGAGCCCTGGGCAGCATCTCATGTAGAGCTGCTATGAACAACAGATTCTCTGCATCCTGTAATGTCCTTCCTCCCCCTGCCACTCCTGCTCATCCCCCAAGGTTATGGTGGCACCTATGGTTTTATCTCCCTAGCACCTTCTTTCTTTGTGGGACCAGGATCCTCACTTTCTCTTTTTCTTGAGATCTTTCCCTTTGCCCCCTACAAACATTTGGATTCAGAAGGCACTGTCCTGTTCTCATGTGATCCTGCCTTCTGGCCACAGCTGACTGGTCCAAGGTTGGGCATCTGGGCCAGGCCAGGTTCGTCAGAATTCTTCCCTAGGACCTCTCCACCCCAGGACCTTTCTAACTAAAACCAAGGAAGAAGGCCAAAATTTCTAGCTGATGGTCGAAAGTCTGAGTTGTCAGTAACCATATTTCCCACTGTGCAGGGGATGTGGTCTGTGGTGAAGAAATGTGAAGCTCGCCTAGAGAGCGAAGCCGAGACAGGAGACGGCCAGAGAATCCTCGCAGGGGTTGAGTCCCGGGTTCTGGCTGAGCCTAAGATCCCCGCTGTAGGCCGGCCCATCCCACAAAGAATGATTCACCTCCTTCTTCACATCCAAAAAATTTCCCTTCTGCTTAAGCTAGTTTGAGTTACATTTCTATCGCTTGCAGCCAAAAAAACCCCAGACTAAGTGAAAGGCCCAGTCCCAAAGTCACCTCCTGTGTAAGGTTCTCCCTGATGCCCCCAACACTTCCCTTCCCGGGGCTCCTTCCACCACACATGGCTCGTGCCAGTGCCAGCAACAGTGACACATTCATGCTATGATTGCTGCTTTTTCACCATGGGCCGAGTAGAAAGAACACAGGCTTCGGAGCTACACCGATCTGGGTCCGCGTCCCGTCGGTGCCCCTGACTAGGAGTGCGACCTTGGAAACAACCCGTGGGTCTCACTTTCCTCATCTGTAAAATGGAGATGCTAACACTTTCCTTGAAGGGTTTTGTGAGAATTCCATGAAATGATGGAGGAGAGTAACGAGCGGAGTGCCTGGCGCTTGGTAAATGTTCAGTAAAGGGAGATTTTTTTCTACTTCACCCATTTGTTTTTGGAGGGAGTGAGGCATCTGTGGCTAGGGAGATTTTTTTTTTTTTTAAGATTTTTATTTATTTATTTATTTGAGAGAGCGAGAATAAGAGAGAGAGAGAGCACATGAGAGGGGGAGGGTCAGAGGGAGAAGCAGACTCCCCGCTAAGCGGGGAGCCCGATGTGGGACTCGATTCCGGGACTCCAGGATCATGACCTGAGCCGAAGGCAGTCGCTTAACCAACTGAGCCACCCAGGCGCCCTGTGGCTAGGGAGATTTTTATAGAGGGTTAGAAATCAATGCTGGTCCTCGAGTCCCCTCAGGGCCAGGCATTGACAAAGCAGCCAAGAAGTTCCCACCCACCCATGAAAAGATGTTCCACGTCGTTAGACTTTAGGGTAAGGCGAATGAACACCACCGCGAGCTATCGGTTCACGGGAACGGGCGCTGGTTGGAATAAAACGGGTAGAATAAAAAGGGTGGGTGAAAGGAAGCAGACACCGGGGCCTGCCGGCGCTGCTGGAGGGGATGCAAAAATGGGGTAGCCACTTTGGAAAGCAGGTTAGCAGGTCCTCGAAAGGCGAAACAGAGTGAACACGAGTCTCTGCCACCCGGCAAGGCCACACCTAGGAGTACACACCCGGGAGAGTCGAAAACATACAACAACGTGTACGTGACTGTTCATAGCAGCGCTGTCCCCGAAAGCCACGAAGCGGAAACAACCCAGATGTCCGTCAGCGGATGAGCGCATCAACAGAAGGTAGTGTGGGCCAGTACTCGGCCGAGCAAGGAAGTGCTGACGCACGCTACCACACGGATGAGCCTGGAGCACATCATGCCGAGGGGAAGAAGCCAGACACAGAAGGCCACATGTGGTGTGATTCCATGGGCATGACAAGTCCAGAGTAGGCAAAGCCAGAGAGATAGAAAGTATATCTGCATGCCCAGGTCTGGGGTGGGGGCTGGGGGAGGGAAAGAATGACTGCTCATTGGTGCAGGGTATCTTCTGGGGACAACGAAAATGTTCTGGAACTAGAGAAAGGGGATGGCTGCACGATCTTGTGAATATATTAAAAAACACTGAACTGTACCCTTTGAATGGGTAAATTTTATGGCATGTAAATTATGTATCAATTTAAAAAAAAAAGAAAAGAAAGAAAGCTCTGTCCAGGAAATAGCTCTCTGTCACACAATGTGGCCTGGACATGCCACTCGGATGTGGCGACTGACCCTGAGCACAATAGCAGGGACAGCATGAATGACCACCACTCACGGTACTGACCTGCTCCAAGGATCGCTGGTGGTCCTGGTGGCCCTGGGGGTCCTGGTGGCCCAGGGGATCCAGGTCTTCCAAAGCCAGGAGGCCCAGGCAGGCCAGGAGCCCCCGGGGGTCCCTGGGGCCCAATGACAGTCTCCCCTTTCTGGCCCTGTCAAGAGAGAGAATGCAGCACCAATCTCTAGAGGTCCCAGCTCTTCTCTGTAGGAGGGTGTTTGTAAAAAGTCAGTAACTACCAGCTCTGGCTATGGCCATCCTCCATGCCAGGCACAGCTCGGGTGGAATGAGACCTAGAGAACAGCTGCCCGGTCATCATGCTCAATGTCACCGCGTCCAACTCCAGAGAGCCCTGGAGTCAGAAGCGCCCTGACTTTGCCTTTCACAGATTAGGAAACTCAGGCACAGAGAGGGGATGGGGCTTGTTCAGTGTCAAAGCCAATTCGCAGCAGAGGTGGAAGTGGACCCCTGGTCTCCAGGCTCTGCTGGGTCCACCCTCACACTGAGCACTGGGACCAGAGTTTGCTTAGGGTTCTGGAGGGTCATGGTCTGGTCTTTATCTCACTGGAGGTATAACCTGAATTTCTCTCTTGTGAGGCTGGAGAAACCTGACATCCTAAGAAGACCAAGCCTATCTAGGGGCTCCTTCTTTGATGAAATCTCAGAAGAATCAAATAGCCCCCTCTAAAAATATCTCCCTCACCTTCCATTCTGCCTTCATTATCTCATATGTTCACCATCAGTAACTCCTTGGGTTGAGAGAATTTTCCACCACTGACATGAATAAGGCGGTGTGGTTAGTCACCTGGAAGTTGCCTGAATGCATATGGCCACGGCCAGCTCCCTTTCCTCCGTGGGCCTCAACCAACCTCCCCATCAGTAAGTAAATACGAGGGAGAGAGGCCAATGCCCAAGTCCTGCCTCTAGCTTATGGTACTGTGACAGACCCTTGACTCTCCAACTGCCTAGTCCCGCTGGGGGGCTTCAGGGAAGGCTGTGACTCACTGAGGCAGATGGCGAGGAGAAGTCACTACTCACAACCAAGCCAGGACTTCCTGGCGGGCCTGGAGGCCCCGACACAGAGAAGTCACCGTGAAAGTCTCCTTTTTCTCCCTTGATCCTCCAGTCTCCATTCTCCCCCTGCAAGCAGAGAGCATTCATTAAGAGGAAGATGAAGCAGTCTATGATGTAAGCCCAAGCACTCAGAAACACAGGCCAGGGCGCCTGGGCGGCTCAGTCGTTGGACGTCTGGCTTCAGCTCAGGTCATGGTCCTGGGGTCCTGGGATCGAGCCCCACATGGGGCTCCCTGCTCCGCGGGAAGCCTGCTCCTCCCTCTCCCACCCCCCCTGCTTGTGTTCCCTCTCTCGCTGTGTCTCTCTCTGCCAAATAAATTAAAAAAACAAAAAAAAACAGAAAATAGTTAAGTGTTGGCAAGCATGCAAAGAAATTGGAACCTTGTGCACTGCTGATAAGAATATATGATAGGGGCGCCTGGGTGGCTCAGTTTGTTAAATGTCTGCCTTCGGCTTGGGTCATGGTCCCAGGGTCCTGGGATCGAGCCCCGCGTCGGGCTCCCGGCTCAGCGGGAAGCCTGCTCCTCCCTCCCCCCTCCCCCTGCTTGTGTTCCCTCTCTCGCTGTGTCTCTCTCTGTCAAATAAATAATAAAATCTTTAAAAAAAAAAAAAAAAGAAAAAGAAAAGAAACACAGGCCAAATGTTTGGTAGAGAAAAACTCACCTTCAAGCTGTTCAGAAAGTGTCTTAGGTAAGCCGGATCCACCGGAGGGCCTGAAAAAGAAATGCTATGTAAAATTCACAACGATAACCTCAGAAATTCAAAAGTCTCCAGGGGCACCTGGGGGGCTCAGTCAGGTGGGTGTCCGGCTCTTAATTTCGGTTCAGGTCATGATATCAGGGCTGTGAGATCGAGCTTCGCATTGGGCTCCGTGCTTAGTGGGCTGTCTGGCTGCGGATTCTCTCTTTCCTTCCTTCTCTATCCCTTCCCCTGATGGCGTGCGCTCTCTCTCTCTCTCTCAAATAAATAATCTTTAAATCAATCAATCAATCAATAAATAAAAGTCTCCGAGTTGGCAACCATCATTATTCCCCAGTGGAAGTGACCTCACGTTGGTTTGGCTCACCAGTGGGCACTGGAGTCCTAGGCTGGGCCCCACAACCCAGACACTGTGGGATCCTGGACATGTCGCTGGCCCTCTTTGGGCCTCATCTTGCACAGGAAGCATGAATGACTGGAAGTGGTCTCTCTCGACAATGTTCTATCATGGGTATGTGTGGCCCATGACTGGGTCTCTCTAGAACTCCGTGGAGCTTGTGGTCAGGGTGGTAATAAAATGTGCCTTACTTTCTGGCTCAGTTGGATTTCTCGGGAACGAAAATCAAAGGCGAGATCCGGAGCAAGAGTTGGAATACCTGGTGGTCCTTGGGCCCCCTGGTCGCCTTTCTCTCCTTTCGAGCCCGGAAGACCCCAGGATCCTTTTTCCCCTTTAACACCTGCCACCAAACACATAAATGTTTAAAAAAAAATGGAAAATCACCTTCATTCTATATGAAATGTTTCTGAGACAAGGTTTCACACTGAGCCCCTTTAGCAAAGTCCACTCATTACACGAAGGCCTATCGAAGGCACGAAATCCTTTGCTAAATGATGGGGAGGACAGAGGTAGATACATCAGACACAATTCCTCACTTTGCAAAGCTCGGTCTCCTTGGGGAGATGGACACAGTGAAGGATAACGTGACGCAGGATGGAGTGAGTGCTAACCTCAAGGTGTCCGCGGTGCGTGGTGGGGGCCCAGCAGAGGCTACAGGTAACCCTCTCCTGGCCAGCTTCATGCACGCAGCCTCACAGGCTCAACATCCAGTCAAACTCCCAGTCCCATCCCTTCTCTGCCTGTGCAGCACGGTGGTGTAGGGGAGGAGAGGAATCTCCCAGGAGTGCCCTCAGAGGACACCAAGGGTGCTAAGTATTCCATGTACAGAGTTGGAAGGAGGCCAACTGTGTCCCCCACCACCATCTCTTAGGATTTATGAGAAGCACCCTCTCTCTCCAACTCTTTCTATGCAGGAGAGGCATGGAGGGCACCTTCTGGAACTTCAGCATTGGGGAAGGGAAGCAATCCCCTGTCCCCCACTTTGACGGGTGGGGGAGACACTAGATCTCTGCATTCCTAGTTCCCAAGAGGTATGACAGATCAACCGAGCAGTACCCTCGAGCCTAGAGATAGGGTTGGGGGGCTCAGGCTTCTCAGCATGGGGGAAGGGGTGTGAGTACCAGAGGCACGATGCCACCAGCTGGGGGTCAGCAGGGAGATACAATCGCAGGGCCAGGGGGGGCACGCCTCCACCCACCCACAGTGGTGAAGCCCAGAGAAGGGGATACTGAGCTCACCACCATCGATGAGGCTGCTCACCTCAGGGAGCAGGAGTAACAACCACAAGTAAGTAGCAGGACACAGGCTCACCGGGGGCTGTCCTGTCCAGAAATGTCTGTTCCCTCCCCTGCCTCCCAGAGCAGCCCCGTGAGGATGGGAAAGCACCGGGGATCTGAGACAGCAAATCCAACTCTACTCTGCCTCCCCAAGATCCACCTTGCACTAGGGGCCAGGGGAGAGCTTTGAACTGGATCTGAGCATGGAGGGTGAAAGCAGTCTGGACCCTGTAACCAAAAGCAACAGAAAAACCACGGGGCCAGATATCATCAGGGAGACCACTGCCTGGCGGGCCATGGACAACAGAGCAGAGCCAGGGGTCAGTCTTGGGGAAAAAATGACCTTTACCTGTTTAAATGGCAAGTGTCCAGACCTCTCAATCAAAAGGGGGACAGACAGAGTGACCGGGGCCATGGGGACAGGGACCAGGGTGATTGCTCCCCTGTAGGCTCCTGTCTCCTGACCTACGCCCTCTGTGGATATTTATTAATGAGACACCCAGAGCCAGCGCCTCTCACACTTTACTGAGCATACACCTCAGTGAGGAGCTTAAAGTACAGCCTCTGACTCAGCAGGTCCACGGTGGAGCTTGAGATGCTGCATTTCTAACATGCTTTCAGGAGAGGCCGCTGCGGCTGGTCCAAGAACTCTCTGAAGCAAAGGTCTTCTGAGCTCCCATGGCCCTTCCCTGTACTCGTTCTTGGTACATTGCATTATCATGATTTCTAAACTAGCTCCATCTCATAGAGTCTAAGGGCCTGGGTGGCAGGAACGGTGTAGGATTCCCCTGCCTCAGCCCAATGCACGGGCTACACTCATGAACTATGGTCTCAGTGGATGCTTTATGAACAAATTAACAAAAATGTGGACAAATGGAGTACTTCTTGCTAGCTGGAAGTCCCAGCCAAGATGTACAGAACATACAGATGTGTGACAAAACAAAAAGAGGTGCCCAACCCCACAGCGCTGGCCCAGCGACCCCTGCTCCCACCACATGCAGCCAGACTCCCAGCCATGAGTCTTAGGTCCAGCACTGGGAGTGGAGGCCACCTCCTGCAGAGCTACAAGGGTCTGGAAAAGTCCCATAGAACCATAAGGTGAAGAAGGGAAACGGTACCATGAAAGGTGATGAGCTCTGAATTCCCAGGATGAGTGGTGTCAGCCTGGAGAGAAAGACAGTCAAGGTCATAAAGTGCAAACCCTGTTCTGGGATTTGCATCCACAGGCCACCACTGTCCCCTGTCCTGGGGGCATGTGGTAGGAGGCACACCGTCATGGAGTCAGGCCCGTCTTTGGCTCTGGAGCCCCCAAAAGCCCTGAGCTCCCCAGCGGCCCTCAATGCACAGGCCAAAGCAGGCCTTCAACTGGGGAGGGGGCGGGCAGTGGGCATTATGCAGCCAGGCCGGGGGGAGACTCACTGGCTGAACAACTCTGCAAGGGGAAAGCGCAAAGCTTCGAGATAAATCGTGGCCAGTTATGAGCGTTCTTAGCCTCCTTTCTTGCGATTTAGGACTGATTCATGTGAAAGGTCAAGCGTCTGAGTGAGTGACGTACCCAGCCATGAGGCTGCACTGGCCATGAGTGTCTGCTGTGGCATAGAATCAAGGATGCACGTAATGAATAGGAGCTGATGATGGTAGCGGTAATTAATAAGGGGGATTAGCGTTTGGTTGAAGGGCTATTCTAGACTCCCCATGACGAGGCAGGGGTCTGGCACCCGAGTTATCCTAGATAATACTCCTTCCTAGTTCATTCCCAGATTCCTGCATTTTCTTATCTAAAAAACAGAGCCACCTGTGACCCTGCTTTTAATACCCAACTTCACCCTTTGCCAGTTGATATGTGGGATCAAAAGGACCCCTCTGGCACCAGGATCCTCCTACTTTTGGGTGGAGGGTCACAAGCTGCTCAGGGGTTACCAAGAGAAGAAAGGGGGCAGGGAGTGGATGGGAATCCCTAAGAACTACATTTCAAAGCTACGGATAAAGGTGGCAGTGCCAAGCTGATATCTCGCGGCTACACCGATAGGGTTCTTCCACTCCCGACGTGGGCTGACATTGTGGTGGTGTTAGAAAGGGGCTGAAAGCAGAAGGGGCTTATGGCATGATGGATGCTGTCATGGAAGATAGCAGTTCTTTTTCAAGTGTTCATTTTGAGAGCTGGTCCAGAAATGTCCCTGGTGTCCGGCCAGGCAATGTGAAATCAAAAACTCATCAAAAATGCTCTGAGCTCATCTTTGGTTTCTTTTCAGGAACCTCATGACCCCAGAGGCCACGGCTACGGCAGAGGGTCCTAGCACAGGCTGTGGTGACTGCAATGGCACTTTTACAACAATCTCAAGTTTGTCGAGTGCTGCCCCGTGGTTGTTCCACTGACACCTGCAACTGTGTTAGCGGAGGGGGCTTCGGGCACAAACTCACAGGGGCCCTAGAGCCGACAGTCTCGCCTTCTGTATGATGAGGTGGAATGCAGCCATCTCTCAGAGGCATCCTTTCAGGCCATGGATGTAGACATGACCTGGCTTGGTATGGTCCTCATGGAGATCTGGGAGCCAACAGGGCCCCTTGTCATCTCAGTGGGTCCTATCGTCTGCATTCTAGGCCAGAGTTCTGGGCCCTGGGCTGCAGACTTGGGTGCCTCAAAATTTCAACACAGACAGATGTCCAGGCAAAACACTCAGCCAGACGGCGTCATTTTAAAGCTTCTGACCCAAGCCTCACCACCACACCCAATTATGAACCCACTTCAAGGAATCTTTGTAAACTGTCATTTGCAAGCTCCTGAGAAGGGAGGCCACGCCTGTTTAGTTCACCCCTGTGTCTCCAGGGCCCAGCAGAGTACTTTGGCTCTCGGCAAGCCCTCAAGAAATACTTGTTGAATGAATGAGAAAGTGATCACACATTGTTCTGTGACTAATGCCTGTGCACGGGGACAGGCCCTCTCTCCCTGGCCTTCCCCATGGAAACAGGGCCCTCCCAATATAGGGAAGACCTCAGCGACAGTGCCACTGCCTAGCTGGGTGACCGGGCACGTGCCTGACCCCTGGGAGTCACAGTGCCTGCACCTGCCGCCTGGTGGCCAGGGGACTCGAGTGACGACCCCAGCTCTGTCAGGCCCGTGACCCAGGCAAGTCAGTGAGCTTGTCTGAGTCACAGTTTGCTGGCTCTTTATAAAGTGGGCGGGAGAGAGCTGGCCTCTCACAGTTGTGTGGTATGCAACACACCTGCTGGGAAGGTATAGGACACACTCAGTTGTAGGTCTTAGCCCACAGTTCCTAATGCAACGAACACTGATCAGAATTGCTTTATTTTCCCATTGATACTTTTAAGGGGTTTGTCTTCCTTCTTACTATACTGCTCCCCGCATGAAGCTAATGTGGTTACAATAACAAGACACTGCTCTCCTGATGCATTAAAAGAAACGCTCTGACAGCACGTGTACCTTTAGAAGACGCAGTTATGTTTCATTGCCACGGTCTGTTATCTAGAAGCTTCTAGCTACTCACTTCAGGGTCTGTATATAAGTGATAGGAGACATCAAAGAGGACATTGATGGATTGCAGGGGCTCAAGGCAAAGACTGATCACCTTCTCTAGGTTGCTTTCTATGCCGAAGTCTGGTCTGTAAGGCAGTGACTCCACACTACTTACCGGCGTTTTGCAGTGTGGCCGGACTGGTATGGGGAAGACAGCCTGTGCGAAGTGAGAACAAGAGAAGCGAGGCCATCAGGACCCCCAACTCCAGCTTAGGCCAGTCTGGGGTCTGTTCCCCGCTGTCCCCTGAAGGTCTCCCTCCCCCGCCCCACCCAACTTACTCCTTTGATGTTAATCACAGCTCCAGGGGGTCCTGGGGGCCCTGGAGGACCAGGTAAGCCAGGTGGGCCCTGAAGGGAGAAGAAAGGCCAAGCCTGAGTTCAGGTTATTGTGAGTGCAGAGGCACTGCGGGATATTTTCTCCAGGATTTGGGGACACGGCGTGAAAAGAAGAGTCCTCTAAAGTCGACTAACTTCTCCCACAGGTAGGCCTGACACTTCTAAAGAGCACGACTGCATCCAGGACCCCCATGGCATCTTTATAGCAACCCATGGGGGGGCAGCGGAGCAAACAGTCTCCCTGGTTTACAAATGGAGGCAGAGGCCCCGAGAGGGGAAGTGACCCGCTCAAGGCCACACAGTCAGAACTCAGATTCTGACTCCCAGAGCAGTGCTCAGCCAACACAGAACCCACCACTTCTCCACCAGCACATCCCTAGTATGGAGGGGGATGTGGGGTGGGGAGGCTCCTTCACCAGACTCGGTACCTGGGAGAGTGCCTCATAAATGCAAAAATAAATGCAAAACTCTTGCTCAGTAGCAGAGCTGTTTTCAAAGCCAGGTCAACCTGGCCTTAGTGCCACACGATGTTTTCTTCTCCAAGCCTGGATCTGAAGCAGGACCGTGCAGTAGAAGGGGTGAGGCTCTGACCACAGGCACGAGGAGTCTGGCCTACTCAGAAGCCGCACTCATTATCCTAAGTGAAGGCATGAGTGTCGGCTTTTCCTAGCAGCTGCAGCGGGCTTGACGAGTGTGAGCCAGTCCCCACAAGCCTCGGTAAAACTGCATTTCTGATTTCTGGACATACAAAGGAGAGACAGTGTGGCCCAAACAAAAGCAGACTTTGCAGACAGTCTAGTACATAGTAGGTGCTCAATATAAACGTTGGCTTCCTTATTGTAGATCCTGGAACCTGCTGATGTCCCCAGTGTCTGCCATCTTGTGAGGCTCCGCCTAAGTAGCTGACCTACCCTTGAAATGCACTCACAAACGCATCCTGAGCCCTAGGGATGTGCGAAATCCCCGGGACTGCGTATGGATGGAAGATGGGATACTACCCCAGGGTCAGAGACTGGCATTTGAGACCAGATTTCCTGACTACACCCGGATTGCTTTCTCCCACCCTCCCTTTTGGGTCTGGACAAGGAAGCTTAGGTTCCACTAAGGTGCTTTCAGTGACAGGGACCCTCCTGAGAGTGAGCTGGAGGACGGCGATGGGCTGGAGGATCTTTGGAAGTGGCACTGGAGAAAGGAGAAAAACATTCCTAAAGATGCTGTCTGCAAGCCCCACTCGCTGGACCTGGCACTCTCTCGGTCCTCCTCTGGGCACTGGACTCAGGGCTCTGTCTCCGGGGAGTGTGGGGTTGGGGCAGTGGTCATGTCACTCACCGGCATCATGATCCCTCGGTCTCCTTTGGCGCCCTTGAGGCCATTCAGTCCCGGGCGACCCTGAAACCCACAGGTGATGCCTTAGTAAACCCACTGCCCCGCCGCTAGCCTGGCCCACGTGCCCGCCCCTCACGTCCAGTCTGAGGAACACCAACACCTACAGGTCGTCCGGGAAGGCCGAACTCTCCTTTGTGTCCCGGTGGTCCTTTGGGCCCCTAGAGGCAAAACAATTAGCAGATTAGAAAAGAACAGAAAGTCGAGGGCCAAGGCGATGGGAGACACTGGCCTGACTTCACGAGCAGGGGTGAGGATGAATCACTGAGGGGAGGAAAGAGGACGACAGGCAATTACGAAGTATCCACCTGCCTGGCACCTTGCCTCCCAACCTCTCTGCTCTTGGCTGGGACAACCCGTCCCACACCTTACCTCCCCATGCGTTCCTGCAGGCTCTGCCCCACCCCACACTCCGGACCCCACCCTCTCAGGGCTAACAAAGGAGCAAGAGGTCAGTAGTTCAGGGCCTCAGGTAGGTAGCGGGGTGCTGGGGTAGCTTAGAAGCTGGACCTTTGGGACGCCTGGGTGGCTCAACGGGCTAAAGCGTCTGTCTTCGGCTCTGGTCATGATCCCAGGGTCCTGACTGAGACAAAGTCCCGCATGGGGCTCCTTGCTCAGCGGGGAGCCTGCTTCTCCCTCTGCCTGCCACTCCCCCTGCTTGTGCTCTCTCTCTTTCTCTGACAAATAAATAAATAAAAATCTTAAAAAAAAAAAAAAAAAGCTGGACCTTTGCTGTAGGTCTTATGTCCCAGGACTCTCCCTGACTCCAACTGGAATAATGCAGACCTGCCTCACCCCTCATGGAAGCCCAGCCTGAGAACCTGCTCCAGAATTGGGCTTCTGCCTGGCTCCTACCTGTCTCTCAGGACCAGAGTCTTGGGCTGGCACCCCACTTCTCCAGAGGAGTCCTTGACCTGTGGACCCTTATTCATCCCAGTGCTGGCTTTCTATGTCTTCATGCTTCTAGAAACACTGCCCTATTCCAATCTCCTGCAGGAACCCTCACGCCTTCTGGCATCTGAGATACATACAATGCACACGATCTCTTCCCAGAAAAGTTCTCCCTCCAGTCTGCCCGCTCCTACTTCTGTAGCTGAGTCTGCCCTGTCTCCCAGGGGGAATGACTAGTTTAAGCCAAGTCCCTTCATCCTGCTGCATTAACATATATGGCTATGCCCTGGAAAATGGCAAATAAAGCTGAGTGGAAACAGGCTCTGTACATAAAAGACCCAGCCCACATTACTCCTAATACAACAAAAGCAAGAACAGAAGGAATCACAGGACACAGGCCACTTGGTGGTATGTTCCAGTGCAGAGCTTCTCAAACATTAGTGTGTATGGGCATCACCTGGGATCTTGTCAAAATGCAAATCCAAGAGGTCCAGGGTGGGGCCTAAGGCTCTGCAGTTCTAACAAGCTCCCAGGTGATGCTGATGATGCTGATCCAGGAGCCACGAGTAACATGGCTCTAGGGAATCTGTAAAGGAAGTGTAGGCTGCACTGGTCATGAGGGCCACGGCTGCCCTATATGGCACCTTTATGCAAATTAGGAGCAGGTGCTCCCTTACTGTCTGTACTTGGCAAGCTGTGCACACACTGGACTTCAGTAGGAACAGTCGAAGTGGCCATCTGCAGTGGCCTACTGGCCACCATTGCTAACTACCGCTACTTCCCATGGGACTGGATGCTAGTAAGTGATTAACCAGTGGTTAACAATACTCCCCCAGTCTGCCTTCACCCACAGTTTCTCCCCTGCAGGCCATCTGTTCTGCCTGTCAGGTCCAAAGGCCTCAGAAGCCTCTTTGAAGGATGCACCTTGGAGGTTATGGGCCATTCATTCACCAAAGACATGTATACGTCTGTGAGGTCCTTTCTCCCCAGGCCTGAGGTCCGGCTTCAACCAAACAAACCCTGTGTGCAAATCTCCAGGCCAAAATGCTTCCAAAGAAATGTTTCCTGGAGGCAGTCAGAAAACCCTGGACATAGAGTCTGACAGGCTTGGTTAAATCCCCAGTGTACCGCTTACAAGCTGTGTGACAATGGGCAAGCTCCTCACTCTCTTTGACCTCAGTGTCCTGGTCTCTAAAATGGAGATTCTGAGATTCACCTCTCAGAGTGCTAAGTATGAAATGAGATGGCATGAAGTGTCAGGGTGTCTGAGCCACAGTGGGTGTCCTACACCTGAATTTTCTTGTTCTTTGTGGTGGGGGGGGGGACGACAAGACATGAGAGGTTTGTAGTTCATTCTGGAGACAACTGGTAGCTTACAAAACCATTCAGCAGCCCAACTGGCTTACAGATTCCTAGAGCAAGTAAGGCGAGAAGGGCCCTATCATATCATCTAGTACTAATTCAATACCTTCACCTTACAGAAGCCCAGACAGAAGTGGACTCGCTCAAGGCCTCATGACAAAGGAGCCGAAAAAGCAGAGAGACTCTCTGGGACTCCTCCGAGGGGCTCCCGGGGCAGTGGATCCTCAGCTGGCAAGCACGGGCAAGCACGGGGTATCTGTGCATGTGCAGCACCATCCGGAGCTCCTTGCCTTCCTGGACACACAGCTCAACCACATGTTTGTGCGTCCCCCCATCCTCCCCCCTGGGGCATCTGAGTTCTTTCTGGCCGGTAGAATGTGCTAAAGGTAATGTTCATCATCTTCCATGACCTCTTCCCCCCGACCCCGCCCCAGCCTCAGGCTGCCCGCTGGAAGATGTCAGTGTGGCCTTGAAGCCACCAGATGGAGTCACAGGACGGAAGCATCCTGGGTTCCTGAGTCACTGCTGGGAGGGGAGATGCCCGCCGAGGAACCACCACCGTGGGCTTGCGGGACTGAGAAATAAGCTGCTTCTCTGTTAAACCAGTGAGACTTTTACTTCATTACAATTAGCCTGCCCTAATCCACACGCATCTTGCCACATCCTTTCTATTTTCACAACCGGGACAACTCAGTCTAATGGAGCCGAAGTATGAGAAACCCTTCAGCCCCCAGGCCACACCCGGCTGAGAGATGCTCTGGCTTACCATTGGTCCCGGGGCTCCATGCACTCCAGGTTCACCCTAAAGCAGGGAGACAGAACTTGTCATTCAGAGGGACACAGCCTGTGGCAGGAACAAACACGGAATGCTGACGCAGATGTGTGCCTTCAGGGTCTGGGGACATGATTACCTTTCTCCCCTGCAGCCGTTCCAGAGGAATGTCCCCTGTCAGGATGGCACCTGGCTCTCCCTTCTCGCCCTGCAATTCAGAGAACCTTTCGATGAAGTGGGGCCTCCTCCTCACTGCCTCATCTGGAGCCTCCCTCGGCCCCGCAGTCCTGCAGCCTCGCCCCCGCCCCTCCAGCCCCACCGCTCTGACATAACTTGTCACTGGAGAGAGAACTGCAGCAGCCTCCTCGGGGGGTGCCCTCTGGGTCATCCCCTCCATACACCACAGGACCAGGTGGGGGTCCTGCAAGCCCCCCCCAGGGCTCCCGCTGCTGACGGATCTGCATCCTCAACCCCTACCCTCCAGGACCCAGCCTGACGAGGTCCTCCCCACCTCTTGCTATATGGCACCCCTCTGAGAACCTCTGGCTCCTAATTTATTTGGTGGCTGGCTTTCCTAACAATCCTTATTCTTGTTAAAACCTCTGCAATTGGTAAAGAGACAAGGGTATGAACACCAGAAGCCTCTCTCAACACAGAGGCCTTGTGTCTCCGTGTGGAACTTTGTCCCCTAACTCTAGGATCCTGTGCAAGCCTGATCAGGGCAAAGTTATCTCAGATGCTGGGGAACTGGGGAGATGGGTAGACTGGTGGCAAATCCTGCCCCAGATCCTGTCCTCAGCAGAGCCGTCTACTTAACCCAGGAGGCTTCCAAGAAGATATTTGTGCACAGAGAAGGCCAAGTGGAGGAACCCTCTGTATCATTCTGAGGCTTTGGCTCCAACTTCAGCACTGGCCCCTGGGGGGCTGGGCTGGGCCCCGCTCAAGTCTCCCTTCCACGGGGCCAGAAGCAGCCAGGACAGCCTCTTCCGTCCGTCCCCCTAAGGCCGCACCTCATATCCGGATCTTACCACTGCGCTGGTGAGAGAAGGCAGTCCTGAGCACGGCAGCAGCGAGAAGGACAAGCACAAAAGCGTTAGAGGCAGAGCAAGAGAAAGCACGTTTGCTGTGAGGGCCGGAGCATAGCTGGCTGGGCGCGCATCCCAGTTTTCAAGATGGCAGGAGATTAGGGCGATGGCATGTAGGTCCCGCTAGAAACTGTGTTTAAGGCAAGAACCACTCTTGCTTGACCAGGCCTCCTCCCAAGCCAGAGCAGCTGCTTGCCAAAGGCCCAAGGCAGCAAGAAGCATCCCGAGACATCACCCCATGTGGCGCCAAACTTAGACCCCTTCGCCCAGCACACTGCCCCCCTCCCCCCTAAGATTGTGGTCCAACACACGCTGGAGCCTCTGCTGGGGGGCCAGGGTGAAATGGTGGGGGAGGAGAAAAGAGAGAAGCTTAATGCTCCCTCCTCTCAAAGACATAACCCCCCTCCGAGACTCTCAAGGCAGGCTCCAGGGCTGCTCCTACTGGCTTCACACAGACCTCCAGCACAGCAATGGCCATACTTTCTGTTGGCTAATTGCACATCTGTTCCTCCTATCTTACTTCTATGTCCCCAGTGCCTACTATGGGAAACTGGCCGGCACACCCCAGGGAACAGATATACGACGGATGAGTACACAAAGGGAGAGATGAATTAATGACCCAGTCCCCAGTCATTGCAATCTGTGTAGGGATGTCACTCTCCGCCTTATCCATAAAAACCCACTGGGATGTTAATTCCAAGAGGCAAATGTGAAAGGATATAAAGGTCCGTTCAGTGTCCTGGGAGCTCCAAGGACATGCTTTGCACGCTAAATATTCCAAAGCTTTTGGACCAAGACTGCCATCCAAATGCAGAATGCCCAGCTTATAATTTCTAAATATTAGCATTCATTGTACTTATTAATTATATATTCTTTCATCCAATAAATGCCTTGGGTGCCATCTGTGTACCAGGACCTATGCTAAGCACTGGAAGTATAGAAAAGAAATTGGCATGTGGCCTGCCCTCGGGGAACGCACACTCTAATGGGGGTGCCCAACAGGTAGTTAGACAAAGCACAGCACATGTGACAACAACATCCAAGGCGCGTTGAGTTCTTTTCCCAAACTGTGATGAGAATCAATTTCTCCACCCCTGGCCCACCTACACCTTGGAGGACCATGGAGATTAGAAAAGTTAATAGCTGGGGAGTGACTGCTAATAACTATGGAGTTTCGTCTCGGCATGAAAATGTCCAAGAATTCGGTAGTGGTGATGGTTGCACAACCTTGTGAATATACTACAAGTCACTGGACTTTACAATCCTTTAAGGAGTGGATTCTGTGGTATGTGAATTGTATCTCAGAAATTTTTAAAAAGTTAACTGCTGCTTTCAGCCAACTGGAAATCCTTAGCAAATTCTGGAGCATGATCTCACTCAATACCTGGCTCTCTCTTACCTGTTCTCCTTTCAGTCCTGGAAATCCAGGCACACCGGTGTCACCTTTTGGTCCTCGAGGGCCCTGGAAGGAATCATCAGGTTTTTTTGTGACTTGTTAAGATGAAAATGTCTTAACCAAATGGAAGTATTTTTTTTTTTTTTTCCAAAAAGTAGAATAGAGAGTGTCATTCCACCGGTGGGAGGAAGCGACCATGAGCCATGAAGTTGTGGTCTGGTGCGAAGAAGACAACACTCAGCGTGAGCAGGCCTGGAGCCTCCTCCGACGGGCACTGCTGAAAACAGCCTGGTTCTGCTGCCTCTGCTGGCCCCGTGGGTCCTCCCAGGCCACCCTGCAGCCGGCCTCCACCCACCATCCACCTTCCATAATTCCTACCTCTTCTCTGGCTCCCTACCATTTACAGGACAGGATCCAAACATCCCAGCCTGACACCCAAACCCAGCCCAGCCAGCCTCAGCACCTCATCCCCTGCTCCCTGTCACCCTACCAGGGTAAGCCTTTCCCCTTCCCCTCTGCGCCTCCACCCATGCCCTTCCCCCTGCAGGAACACCCATCCGCCTCTCTACAGAGCCAAGTTCTACACACCCAGCCAGAGGTGACCTCTTCTCAACTCCAACAGACACTGAGTACCTGTGACGATGACTCATAGCCAGACGTCTGCCCCAAAAAGGCTTACATGCTTTACTGCCATGGAGCTTTGCACTAGTCCCTGTCCTCTGTGCTGGGTTAAAGGGTGAGTTACCCACAAAAGCAGTGGCTTTCAATATTTGTTATTATTATTTTTTAGCAATGAAGCTCTTTTCTTTCCTTTCTTCAAACAAGACTTCAGTGAAAACCCAATATATAAAATACATCAAATGGAGCTTCTTTATTGGAGGCCAGGGGACCAGAACCTGCCTTTGTGGGCCCCTCTTTACTCCCTAAAAGTGGCCCTGGAGGCTGCCTCAGGAACACAGAACAACTCATCTAGGGGAAAACGTATTCTGGAACATGCCACCAGTTTGAAGCAGCCAAACCACGGCCGGAGCTCAGAGGTGTGGCCTCTTCTTTCCCTAACGAAGAGGCGTCCTCCACGGCTGCCACTCTCTCTCATGTGTCTAAGGTCTAGTTCATACGCATTTTCATTGTCATCATTGGATATGTTCCTTTTACAAAATGTAAAAAGTTCAGAAAAGTAGAAACAGAAAAAGAAATCGCTTATAATTCCACCATCAAGAATAAATTTATGCCGCAGTTTTGATAAATTTCCTTCATTTATCCGGAGACAGTGCATAGGCCTGTTGGCATTGGGACCTTTTGAAGCTGTAGTGTCTTGGAGAAACCATGTAGATTTCACTCTGGAGCCTTGAGCTTCAGCACTGGCTCAACGTTTTAGATAGAACTGATCACTTTCTCCGCAGAAATGCATATGCACCTTCCACAGAGGAAACCCCAATAGTGCGCACACAGACTATGGATTGTTGGACTTCTAGTCTGTGCTTCTCCTTCCCCCATCCTCCATCGCTACCATCTTCTCACTTTAGGAAACCGATCTGCTGGGACTGTATGAACTGTGTCTGCCTATCTATCTATCTATCTATCTATCTATCTATCTATCTATCTATCTAGACTGAAATGCTTGACTCATCCACTTGCGTTCATAGAAAGCCAATCACTGGCTCTGGTTTCTGCTGGTACTGTGGGAGAGAGAGATAAGACCCAACCTCCACAAGCTGTTCACAGTAAAATTGAGAAAAAAAGACAAGGACCCAAATAACTGTTATTCAGGGCAGAAAAGAATCACAGCAGAGCTGAACATAAAGCCTATGGGACTCGGAGGAGGAAAGGATCACTCCAGGTGGAGGTCAACGAGGACAGGTTACATGCACAAGATGGCACCAGAGCTTGGTCATGCAGAAAGGGAATGGCATTCCAGGTGGAAGGAACAGAATGAACACAGATCCGGGGCACAGAGGGAAAAGGTCTATTGTGGTACTTACTGGAAATCCTGGCAGCCCAGGTACGCCCTCCGGACCCTGTGACATACCAAAAACCAAGCAGGCGGGTTAGGGGTAGCATTTCCAGAGCCGGCAGGAACGCTGTATCTCCGGGGCCCACCCGTCCCAGAACCTCCCAAAGGCCTAAGCATGTTCCTGCAGAGGTGGGGGTGTGGGGGGATCTCATGATCCGTTTGTAGAGGAAGATGCCGAGGCCCGGGAGGGGAAGGAACTGTGCAGAGTCACATGGCTAGTTGGTGACAGAGCCAGAAACTGTGCCCAGGAGCCCAGAGGCCCCACTCCCACCCCACCCCCAGGCAGGATTCTGCATTTGAAGTGGCTGACCCCTGCTCTGTGAAATCACTCAGTGTCAACCTCGACCCATGTTCTTGGAGCATAAGACCCTCATTTCTGAGGAGTGGGCCCAAAGAGTGCACTGAGGTATTTGAGGGTGGGAGTGGGGGCGTGTTGCTGACACTCAGTTCTTCTCCCTCAGAGAAGAATACACAAAGAGTCTGTGCTTCACTCCCACACTGGCCGGGGCTCTGCCTGCTGGCTCAGGTACCCACAGACTCATTAAATGTCTGTGAGTTTGGCAGAATACATGAAGAGAGAGACAGCCGGAGGGCAGCACGTTTCTCGATACCCTCTCTACACAGTGGCGTGGGAAAGCATGAGGGTGCTGACGGGACTTGAGTCCCTTCAGGGAGGGAAGAGCCTCTGAGTAGGAAAACCTTGGCCCTTCATTAGGACCGAAAAGCACCCTTGAGGGTCTGGAATTGCTAAGGGGAGGACAAGGATTGGCGGGGAAGGTGGATTCTAGAGGTGGGGAGAGGGAGAAGAGGTGGGGGCAGACAAGGCCCAGAGACTCTTAGAACAGAGAGGCCAAATCTTGTATTTGAGCCCGTACGTTGCTTTAGTAATAACCCACCCAATACCCTAGACCTATAATAGTGTGGGAAATACCAAGACCTCCTGTGAGATGACTTTGGCTTGACAGCTGGTTTGCCTTAGGGGTTGATTACTGGGGTGTTTTGAGGGATTTTCCAAAAATCAAGGAAAGGGAGCCCCAGGAGATGTAATTCAGAAGATACAGTGGAAGGACCCACCAACAGAGGTCACCCAGCAGGAGAGACTGGCTCTAGAAGGCTAGATATCTGCAGAAGCCTCGGGGAGAGCACCGAGGTCCCCCAGGACATGGGTGGTGGGGGTTCAGGCCAACCTCAATGGGGACTGCAGGGGTGGGTGACCCCTGAAGACATCTGGGCTGCCCAGCTGTGGAAGCATAAGCCTCAGTCTCCATGTGGGCTTGCAAAGAGTGCGCCATTTGCAAAGCAGGTCCACATGCACCAACCTCTCACGAGCTGCCCCAGAGCTGGTGAGGCATTATCAGAGAGTGGACTCAGAGGCTCAGGGGGTGTGTGGCAGACGGGCTGGAACCCCAACTCTCCTCAGAGCTCTTTCCTCTCTCCCTAGCTGGTGCAATGGGGATGTATGGCACAGACTGCAGGAAGAAGCTTCCTTCCTCTTAGGTGCTGTTGTGCCATAGACCAACTCTGTGGACTCACAGAGATACTGTAGCTCCACTGAGTGTTCCTGATCCCTACCAGGGGGCTAGAAAGACTGAAGCAAGTCATGTTCTCTCCTTGTGCAGTGGTTTTCCCATTAGCACAAGGTTAGGTCTCTCTAGGCTCTTCCCATTCTATGAAATGAGATCATGTTAAGAAAAGCAGGCCAAAGGCATCACATGGACATCATGGGTTTGTTACTTATGATTCTCTGATTTCCATGACACATACTTCTGATACATGAGACTGGAAGCTTCCACTGTGTTGGACAAAACTCCCCGAACGATCAAATTAATGTAATAGCAACTTCTCAGAAACGCAAAGTTCTTTTTCCATTCTATTCTGATATATTCTAGCTCCAGTGCTTCAGGAGCTAAAAGGGCTCCACACCAACCCGACTTCATTTCCACAGGGGCATCTGGGTAGGACCCTCACTCTAGGGCAGCTATGGATACGCACCGGAGGCCCAATGAGCTCAGGGACGTCCGAGAGATTCATGAACCTGTGGGTGACGTTGGTCAAGGACTGAAGAGAAAGAAAACAGACAATGAGACAGAGGGTAGCACATGCCCACCCTGCTCCTGGCAGTGGAGGCTGTAACTGAAGTCACCCCAGCATGACAGAACACAGGCGGACATGATCACACCCTCAACTCGCTGCCAACACATCCATCCCCTCCCCCACTTCTTATAAAACAGGCCGGAGCTGCCGTAGCACCTCCTTCTTTCAGTTAACCTTAAACTTGCACAATACGTGAATGCCTGCTCTCTTTTAAAATTTTAAACACATGTCTCTATTTTTAAGCACACACACACACTCACACACACATATCTCCACAGTAAGCTTACAGTGTTGGCAGTGTGTGTGCTTGTGTCCACACGCCTGTTTTACATAAAAGGCATGAGACTGTCTGTATTATTTTTCCACTTGTTTTCTCCAACCCTACAGCATGGCCATCCTTCCACGTGGAACTGGCGGTTACGGACATTTTTAGTTTTAAGGGCTTGCTAAAGAGCTGTCTAAAGGGGCCGTACAATGTACACTGTCGCTAAAGCATACAAGATGAACTATTTCATCACACCCTTACCCATGCTTGATATTTTTAATTCCCCCCACACACACTTTTTTTAAACTCTAGTCATCCTTTTTCCCTAGTTATTTGGGAGTCATCTACCAGTATGACATCATTTGTCTCCAAAGGGCCACAGTTTTTCACCAATGTGATGCCCTAACATGAAGGGGACCTTGCTCTGGTCTCGAGCACATCCCAGCTTTGTCTACAAATTTCCATCACTCTCCACCCCCTCCACAGCCATCAGCTCCCTGTGCCTGGGACACACTCGTGTTTTCTCTTCTGAGCTGTGGCTCAGGGTGTGCCCGCCACCTGACTTCTGGAAGTCCTGTCCTTCACACTTAACCTGGTAAGATCCTTCCCAGCTCTCGAGTCTCCACTCAGAGGCACTTCCTCCAGAAAGTCTTCCTTAATTTCTCATATCCCAAAACATCTTCCTCACTTGTTCCCCCACCTGCGTTCCTCTGCCTCTCTGTTACAGCTCTGTTGCCGTCATTCTCTTAACTGCAAATGCTGCCAACCAGGGGAATGTTCTGGAAGCACCATGCAAGAGAGGTGGGACTGGGTTAGGAACAGACATGTAGGGCGTGCTGGCAGTGAAAACTCCAATGTCAGAAGCCAGCGATGTGCCCTCTGTGTAACCACCAGCCCTGAAGGCCCTAAAGTTGTGGACAACCTTCTCTCCCCTTTAGCAGAGGCAGAAAATACATAGCCATACTCCAACCTGGATGATACTCACACTGGACAAGACCTCGATGCGACCGGGCGGCCCTCTGGGTCCAGGGGGTCCCACAATGCTGGCTCCATCCATGCCTCTGTCACCCTGGATACAACAGTGATAGTGGAAAAAAAAAATTCACTGTACATGAATAACGCCCTAGAACCTGGCTGGAAATTTCCCCCACCCCACCTCAGATCTGTAACCTCACCTTGGGTCCCTGGTCTCCTTTTTCTCCTTTGGGACCCTGGTAAAACAAACAAACATTCTTTGGTTTTCTTCTCTTCACTTTGCTTACTCCCCATCTATCCTCCCATCTTGCCATCTCTCCCTAAGCGCCCACATGGATTTTGCCCCCAGATAATAGGAGTAAAAGATGATGGGCAGATTCCCCTTCCAGAGTCAGAAAGAAGGAACACCCACAGAAGCTCTCTCCCAGCGCAGGGTGTGTGTCCTCTTAAGCCTGAATCTCAGAGCCCTCTGCATCTGGAGGATAGGGAAGGGTCTTATTTAACCATGGACGGGGCGATGCTGCTTGCCCCTATAAGGCTCTTTCTCCTGGACCAGTATGCTCAGCTCTGGGTCCCATCTGACAAAGATAATGAGATCGGTCCTCTCGAGAGCAGGAATCATTGCAGGAGATGGACCACACCTCCCTGGGGCTCGATGCAAGGGGGAGGAGCACCTGTCAGGAGCGCAGAGTTCTGAAGTGGGGGAAGGGTGAGTACGGAGGGGGGCAGCAGGTATGAGGCAATGAAACAGAGATGCTTGATGGTAAGGGACGAGAGAGACAGGGAGGACTTTCAAGTCTTCCCCTATGGATGTCTTGTGCAAAACATCTGTGCTGCTCCTCAAAGAAACAAGCTATAAGGAGCACTTGGTCTCCCCATGGCACAGCTGGAAGCTGAAGGCATGGAGAGGGAGAATTACTGAAAATAGCAGAGCCAGGATGGCACCCCCACCACTTCCTCACTCCAGCATGCCAGTCCTCCAAATGAAGGCTTCCAAACTCAACCTACACTCGGAGCCACTGGTCCGGAGATTCTGGGTTCATGTAACAGCCTGATGCTTCCAGACCCTTCAGTATCCTGGGGAAGGGAGGAGAATGACAATTTCATATCCAATTCCTGAGCACCTCCTGGTGCCAGGTGTGGAGCTGGGCCCTGGGGCTGGGCTCAGTGTGGGAGTCACCACCGTCTCTGCCATTGGACCAGCGTTCTGTTAGCTGGTTTTTCCAACAGTCCCCAGGGCACACTGTTCTTGAACCACAGAAAGGGGGGAAATTACCTCAAACCCAAGTCCCGCTGCACATCCAGGGCCTGGGGGCCCTGGAGGTCCAGGAGGCCCAGGGGGTCCCATGACCCCAGGAGAGCCAACTTGTCCATTTTTCCCTGGAGGTCCTGGTAAGCCTCTGTTGCCAGGGTCGCCCTGTAAGGAAGAGGGCAGGTTTATTGTGCAGCCCTGGGTTCACTTGTGAAAGGAGTAACAAACATGCCTGAGTCCGAAAATCACTCTTTGAACTTAAGGAGGTTGATGGGTTCTCTGATGGGCACTGCTTCGAGTACAGAAACTGCTGTCTTGCTAGTGGACATTTCACTTGGAGACAAGCTGAAGCACCCTGTGTGGAGGGCAGGGGAGGGGAGCAGACACGGCAGGTTGTTCAGCCCTCCATCTCCAGCCACTCCACTTTCCCGGAGCAGTTCCTGAGATCTGGCTCTCTCTGCTGCCTGACACGCAAAGGCTCAGCACTCCAGCCCAACAGTCCAATTATAGTAAACCCAGAGGAAGGAGAATGAGAAGAAAGCTTTTTCTTTTTCTTTTACCTTTTCACCGACTGAGCCATTGGGCCCTCTTGCGCCCTGTAAAACACACACACACACAAAACAAAAAACATGAAAAAGGGCCATCTCGTTTGGTATAATCAAAAGAAAAGAAAATGCAGAATTATCAACTCTTCAGTAACAGGATCTTAAAATGGGCTGATGTCTCCAAGCCGAGTGCATTATAGTTGTCAGTTTTCTAGGCAAGTTACACTGAAAGCTTTGAGAAATCCATTTTTCAACTATTAGCTCATTACCCGGAGAAGTTGAAGATGAACCAGGGAGAGACTGTAGAGGAAGAATTCCCTTGGAGAATTGCCCGTGTCCTAGCCAGTCTCCTACCCCACCCTCCCATGATGCAAGTAAAGGGATATGTCCCTTACTTGAAGCCAAGAAAGGAGCTCAAAGAACTTGATATGTATTCCCTAGACTTTTAGAGATTTGTGGAATGATGACTGACTTCCTTCTGGATATATCTAAAGACCAAAAGCTGCCTGGGGTGGCCCCAGAATGGGGTTGGGGGGTATCACTCTAAAGTAGGTTGCATGTCCATCTCCAATGGGGACCACAGTATAGGTTTAGATGGGGGGATGGGTTAGATGTGGATCCCGTAGAAGAGAGCCAGCTGTGAGCTCTGAGCAGACAGGAGGACCAATGCGGGGCTGGTGGCCAGGAATGGTCAACCACAAAAGACATGGCCCTCTATCAGGGGACTGTGGGCAGGGGGCCCGCAGTGGGAGAATCTCTCAGGATTCACAAAAGGAGCCAGGAAAAGGTCCTGACACCTGATTGTGATGTACCCACCCTCTATGGCTGTGTCATTCTCCCCAATCCCCTCTTTCCCTCAGCTGGATCGCCCTTCTATATCAAATCCATAGAAAGGACAGAACGGATAGTTCCAAGATAATATGCTCCAAAGTAAGATGGCAAATGACACTGCACCTGAAAATAGCGAGGAACACCAAAGGGAGAACACAGGAAGCTGAAGCCAGAGGCTTCGGTAGTGGAGAGAAAGCACAGGGGAAAAAGTATCTTACAGAGTGGTGGGTGTGGCTCTGATGGGCAGAGAGGCTGAAATTCCGGAGCAGGAAGGCCAGCAAGCCCTGCCCATTCCCCCTCATCTCCCAGTGCCTGCTCCTACAAGAACAATAACCGCTGTTTCCTGGAGTCAGCGCATAGAGCAGAGCTTTGACAGGCGAGGGAAACCTTGGGAGGTCCAGGGGTATCCCAAACTCATAAGTGCAGCTGCTGAGGGGCCCTGCCTGATGGCACACCCCACGGTCCCCGTCTTCTCCCCGAAACCTGCAAGTCTCCGAAGTAGCTGCTGCCCAACTCCCCAACAATCTGAACACAGAGAGGCAGAAGACAGACCGAAGAGAGGTTCCAATTTCAAAAGCAAACACAGCAAGCAAGAAACACCACACATTCGAGGGAAGGCAACACTGTGAAAGGGAGGTGGCAGTGCCAGCAACGGGGTGTCCACCCGGGGGAGGAGCGTGAAAATCAGCTGCCAATCAGGACTCCAAGTGCATGCAATACGCATTCTCAGGGACAGAAGGGAGGGCGTTCCAGCCACAGAACATGGGCAAACCATCATGAAATGAGCACAGTGGTTATAGAAAAGAATCAGTTAGAGATCTTGGAAATAAAAAGCAAGTGTTCTATAGGGACTGAATCACAAGAGATGCACCTGAGGAGAGAATTACAGAATCAGGCTGCAGCATCCCACCGCCACCCCCACCCCAGGACATTAGGGGGTGACGGGAGGGGAAGGGGTGCCGGGAGAAGGAAGTGGCGGTGGCCAGGCTCAGAGGCTTCTCTGCTGACCAGCCTGACCGGAGAGAAACTATATGGGACTTTTCACCATGGGCAGAAACAAAAAGAATCGCGTTCTGGTCCCCCTGCCTAATCTGGAGGCTACAGTTTCTGCGCCTGCTTTTCTTGGGTGTGACCAGCCACGCAGTCCTCTGCGGCCTGTTGCCATCTGTCCTTGAAGGAAGTGCCAACCTTATGCACCTTTCCAGTCACATTGCAGTCAGGGATATTGTGACACAGAAGTTAAATTAGCCTTCTCTCTTGACTTCTGGACTCTAACCTCTGAAAACCTTATTGTGTTGCCAGCTGAGCGGGTTAAAGAAAATTACATTTGGAAAGTGAAAAACAGTCTTTTATAAGTTACCTTCCCAGCTCTTCAAATCAAGAGTACATCTTGTAGCAGTTTCAAAGGAAGTTCTAGAAGGTATTTTGGACCTTGAGTTATTGGTCTCAGAAACAGATGATTTTATCCAGCTTGTACATGCAAAAAGGTAGTATTTGGACCCATTCCATTGGCTCACAGATTTGGTGGCCACCATTTTGGAATCTGAGCAGATTGGCTTGGGGCATGGAAGAGCTCATATTATTGGAGTTTACATGAGCAAGTACAGTGAAAACTAGGAACTCCAATTACAAGAGTCAGCAAAGACTCCCTGCTCCCAAAATGATGGGGTAGAGCTATACTTCATTGCTCAGTGTGAGACCTGAGGATCTTGGAATTCCAACCAGCCAAGCTGCGGGGTTGGCTGTGGCGGTGAAGTATGGAGAGGCCAGTTCCACAACGGAAATACTGCAAAAGACCGAGCTGCAGGAGTGCTACAAAATCATGCTTCAGAATTCATTAGAAATTTCCTCTCGTTATGGTAACTGGATTTGCTAAGGACTTTATTAGACTTCAGTGTACAGGAACATCAAAGAACCTAATAAGTACATCAATTTTTTTTCCCTGTTGTGGTATCTGAGATGGCAGATACCTCGCACTGCCTCGTGCGTGTCTATCAGCTGAGCTCATGGTGTTTGTTACACTGATAACTTCAACTTGTTACAATTATAATTGACCATGGTCGATTTGGTTTGATGGAGGCCTATAATCCTGATTTTGTACTAAACACAACTGATGGTTAAAGAAGATATGCAATTGGAAATCGGGCCAATATTGGAACGTTCAAGTGAAATAAGCTGTTACCAGCTCCAAACCTATTACTGGATCTTTGTTAAGTGTGGCTCACACGTAGGTTCTTGGGGGGCACCCTGTTCTGTAATGTGTAAGATTTAGAGAATTGCTCAAAGCCCAGGTAGGGTTCAGCGGAGAAAGGGAAGCTGATGATGATTTATTTGCATTTCCCCTCATCTCACGGGCAAGACAGAATCTATCATACGAGGCCCAGCAATGACATTTCGGCAGCTCAGTGAGATCACTCGAAGCCCGTTCCTGGGAGCTCGATGCCCCTCAGAAATTCTGGGTACTGAAGAAAACTTCAAAACACAAACTCTTTCCTGCCTGGCTGTCCCAGCACCTTTTGACACTGAAGAATACAGTGAATGATTTAGATTATAAAAGGAGGACAAGAGTGATGATCGCAAACACTACATGCGTGCTGAAGATCCGGATGGCACAGTGTGCCGGGCACAAAGCAGGGAGGAATTTTCCAGAGATAACATCGAACTCAACATAAAATAATCTATTTCATAAATTCTTAATGACCATCCACATTTTGATGACAATCCCAATTTGAAAATAATGAATGTATAGGATATTTTTTTTTGCCAGCCAAATAATTCTTTGGGAGAAAATTCTTTATTCTTTGGGAGAAAACTCCCCTTTAGACAACATGGACACCAGACTGGTGTCCATGCCCTGAAAGTGAGAAGAGAGGCTGCTTTCTGAGCAGCATGAGGAACAATCCCCCTACATGTGTCCATGCACTGCCTGGCAGGAAATGAGTCCCTTGTCACTGGAGGTGTGCAAGCTGAGGAATAGATACTGTGGAGGGAAGTCAAGGATCAAATGTGTCACTGGATCCTATGTTGCGTGACATCCCAGGGACTGCTCATTTTCTCTAGCACCCGTCTGTTATTTGACATCCATACCATGCTCCTTGGTTTACTTTTGTCTTTTAAGAATTTTTTTTTTTTTTTTTTTAGGGCGCCTGGGTGGCTCAGTTGGTTAAGCGACTGCCTTCGGCTCAGGTCATGATCCTGGAGTCCCGGAATCGAGTCCCACATCGGGCTCCCTGCTCAGCAGGGAGTCTGCTTCTCCCTCTGACCTTCTTCCCTCTCATGCTCTCTCTCTACCATTCTCTCTCTCTCTCTCAATAAATAAATAAAAATCTTTAAAAAAAAAGATTTTTTTTTTTTAGGTAAGTGTTATCTGCAAGGTTTCCTTCAAGCTTTCTAGATGCAAATTTCCGAGTCCTTCTAGAGTCTGCTTTCACTTGACCAGAAAGCATCTTATGCACATGGTGCAACAAATTCGGACTCATAGCAAATTTGGGGGAGAAAACTGTAATTTATCTCCAACAGTGATCCTGGGCGAGCCTGCTGCCCTGAGCATTGCAGACTGTGCCTGCCGTGTCAGTGTGCGGATGTGGGCATGGGTATTTTTAAATACCAGACAAGCATGGGAGGGGTGTGTGGGGGCGGGTAGGGGAGAGCTGGTAAGAAGGACAGGGAAGAACAGTGTAGGTCTGTGATGTTTCCTGAAAAGTCTCATTTCTTATGAAATAGTTGGTACATGTAAAATGAGTCCTATAAAACTTGACGACTAGTTTCTTTCTTCTTTTTGTGAGACATGAGCTTTCCACGAAAATCGAGTTACTGTTTCAATTAAAATGAACACACTTGAGAGCTGATGGAAACTGGAAATTCAGTTCAGCGAAGACGGTGGTATCTGGGGAGTTAGCATTTTCCACGACTTCATGCAGTGGAGTCCACAGAAGGTCTTGCTCCCTATCCCAGCTGGGAGGGATCCTCCCTCCTCCAAACCCCAGTGAAACTCACCACTGCTTCACTGTGGGGAGGTTTACTTTTTTTTTTTTTTTTTGGTGTAATTTATTTCGTTATTTGTGTATATACCTTATCTTGATTGCTCTCCTTTGCAGGACATGGCTTATCTCATCAAAGAGGCTGGGAACTGCTGTAGGCACAGGAACCACGCCCCCACAGCACTTTGTGGGGTTTGCAGACAGAGAACAACACAGGCTTACAGAGAATGAAGAGAGTGAAGGGAACTGCCGAATCACTGATCAAACAGGCTAACGGAGGCCTGAGCCAGATTCTAAGGACACATAGACAGTGCTAAAGCTGTTTGTCACAGATAAGCTAACATGGGCTCAGCAGAATCAATGCTGTGCTAATGGGAAGTACAGGAAGGAGGGCTGCTTTCTGCTCACAGGGAGTCTGAAACGGCTTCTCAGAGGATATATCTGAACTGGCCCTTGGAGGGTGAGGAAAGGGAAAGTCACCCGAGATGGCGGAAAGCATGTGCAAAGGCCAGGGGGTCATCCAGGAAGAGCATGCCCAGAGCCCCGCAGTAGGGCTGCTGGCTGACCCAGAAGCTGTGTGAGGGAGCTGCAGGAGACGGAGCTGGGAAGGCAGGTCTGGACTCCGTCAGCGTTTGGTCCCACAGGCAGCGGCTAGCCTTGATACCTTCTCAGCAGAGACCAGCGGAAGCCTGCTGCAAGGAGGATGGACAGGTGGGGTGGGTGGGTGGAAGCTGGATTGCGGGTGGGGAGAACAGGACACTGGCAAGAAGCCTGAGGCTGCCGTGCGGGTGAGGAGAGATGAACCTCAGATCAGGTGGAGAGAGGCAAGGGATGTGGATGGCAGACGGGCCAGTCCTGGCAACAGGTGGGGCACGGCAGGAAAGGGAGATGAAGGAGGGCTTAGAGAAGATTCTGCCATTGAGTCCTCGTGACTGGGTAGATGGCAGCACCATTCACTGAAGCTGGAGATGCTGAGCTCAGATTTGGGCATCAAGAGCCCTGGGATGGAGACGTCCAGCAGAGAGAGGACTGGGAGGGGATCAGAAAGGGCCATTCACCTAAGAGGCAAGGACGGGCCTAGAGGTCAGAGGGAAGTGGTGTGGGCCTGGTGGCCCCCATGTGTTGGACCCCTCCCACCCTGTCCGTACCTTCTCTCCCTTCATCCCAGGAAGGCCGGAGGCTCCATCAGCTCCAGGCTGTCCCTCAGGGCCCTGGGAACATCAATGACAATCAGCCCACAACATCTCTGATAAGAATCAAGTATGAAGCCTTCCAAGAGCAGGAGGCCATGGCTGGGAGGACCAAGCAGGTGAGGTCAGTGGGTCCAGGAGCCTTGTATCAGTCTAGGCTGGAATGCCAGTCCCTGGCCCCAGCATGGCCACTGCTGACCATACACCTGTGGATGAGTGTCCTTCATTCTATGGGTGGCATCTTCCTCTCTTGGGGGGAGCTGGGGGCAGGGTCGGACCAGATGGTCTCTGGGGGCCTCGGGTTCCAGGCCCAGCACTTCGATGTCCTAGGATTCCAAGATTCCACATGAGTCTGCATCTCCTATACTCACTAAGATAAAGCAGCAGTGTGCAGGATGGTGTATTTCTTGGTTTCTGCTTCTTATGAGTCTTAGCAATGACTCAGCTGAGGACTTTTTGTTTACAAACATTAGCTAGCTGCTCACTCTCTGTTATGAGCCTTTGTGCTGGGGTCTGGGGTCTCTACGCCCCTTCCTGGCTAGAGGAAGCCTCATGGCCACGGAGAGGGGGAGATGACCCCAGTGGCTCACCGGGGGCCCAGGTTCACCAGCAGCTCCATCCTGTCCAGGCGATCCAGGGGGTCCCATGAAAACATCAGTTCCTGGTTTTCCTGGAATCCCAGGTGAGCCAGGTGGGCCCGGGGGGCCTGGGGGACCCTAAAAAACAGATACTCTGTTAAGAAACAGTGGGGGAGGGGATAAACATATACTAAGCATGTATGTTCCGTCCATTCTCTCTGTTCCTCACGCTAGCACTGCAAGTAGAAACTGGTGTTCGCACTTAGCCAATGGGGGAAACTGAGGCTCAATGAGATAATGTGACTTGGTCTGGGCTCACATACTCACAGCTAATTATTAGAAGAGCTGGGATTTGAACCCAGGTCTTTTTGAGCCCCTCATACCAGGTTTTCTCCCTAGATGTATGTATATGATAAAAATCCAATCAGAATTTTCAGAGGTGTCCTGACTAATTTAGTTTTCTGATTACCCGACAGAGCAGTCAAAAACTGCCTGTTGCTAACCCTTATTAAAACTCTTTAGCCTCCGGCTGGGTTGGTTCATCCCCCCAGCCTGGAAGACCCATGTGGCTCCCACTCTACTTATCCAGTGAGTCCAGAACTCTTCCGGTCCTATCCTGAGGAGTGGGCCAAGGGGCACCTGAGTGGAGTCTTCTGGGTGGGGATTCAGCACAGGGGTTCAGAGTGAGGTTGGGGGCCTCGGGACAAAGCCACCAGCTGCAGCTGGAGCAGGGAGGTGCTCCCCAGGAACCAGGAACCAGTGGGGGCCCTGCCTTGGGCAGGAGGCTGAGGGAGCAAGAGCAAAGAGGAAGAAGGGGTGGTTGAAGAGGCAGGAGGGGTTGCCTCAGGGTAGGGTGGATTTCCAGAAGGGTCTGGAAGCCAAAGTGTGAAATACTACCTCGAGAAGAGGTCCGTGGTTCTCTATAACGGGTAAAGGGGATGGGGGCAAAGCCAAGTAAGAGGTGAAGGTCATGGGCATACTTGCTGTGGGACAGTCCTGGATGCCAGGGAAAGGGGGCAAGTGGTGAAGTAGAGATCCTGAAGAGAAACTAAGGCTCATATTCACTTAAAACACAACAAAACTAATCAAAGTGGAAAATGCCAAACATAGACACGTGGAAGGGAAAATATAATCCTCCCGATCACTGGGAAGGCAGTCCCAAACACCAGGCTGTTCCACCCTCACACTTACTCTTAACAGCTCCTCACCGCGCACCGGGTCACCAGAGCCAGAGCCGCCGTCCGAGCCCCAGCCCGGGCCGGAGCCCTCGGCCTCAGCTCCCACCTGGAGAGAGAAGAAATTCCCACCGCTTGGTTTCACCTGCCACTCCCTAAGGACAGGCTTGTCACCAAAAGTCTTCCCTCACTCTGTAGCCCTATAACTGCCGCTGTCCACCTTCCTTCTGGGCTCTTCTCCACCCCCCTCTACCCCTCCCCTCCTTCCCCACCACCTCTGGCTGCACAGCCAACAGGCAGCCGGTCCTCAAACATACTGTGCTCTTTCACATCTTCTCAGCCTCCCTTCCTGCCTTCCAACCCCCTACTCACCCTTCAAGGCCCAGTTCCACTGTCACCACCTCCAGAAAGCCCTCCCAGCCCATTTTCCAGGTGGAGGTAGAATTCATTTCTCCCTACTGTGTGTTCTCACCCACTTCTGCTGAGGTCTTGATGTGGTAGTAGGACCACCTGACTTGAAGCTCAGTTGTGTGTATGTCTGTCAGCCCCTACAGACTAGGACCCCTCCAGGGTGGGCCCATCCCGAGATACCTCTGGATGCCCAGTGTCTTAGCACACGATCTGGTACCAAGAAGGTACTCGGTGCATACTTGTTGAATGCCATCAAATTCCTCCAAAGAACAAAAGGGAATTTCTAAAAATTTTTCTGGGACTTAATTCCTGAGCACAAGAACCAGGGGAGGCTGAAGTAAATCGTGGAACGTGCATGGAGCATGTGCTCCGAGGCCCGGAGGAGGACCTGGGCTGGAGGTTAGGGCCGGGTTGAGACGGGTGGCAGTGGTGTGCGCATGCGGGTGGGAGAAGGGAGGCGGGCACGGGGGCCCGCTGCCACTGTCCGAGGGACTGGCTAGACTCGGGGCTGGGAGGCTGACGGGATGGGGCGCGGGAGGCGGAGGGCCACTGGAGGAGGTTTCCTGATTTCTGTCTTGATATCCGGGAAGATGGGGCGCCACTCCCAGAGACGGAGCATCCTGAGGGAGGAGCAGGTCTGGGGCATGGTGACGAGTCGTTTGGGATGTGGTTGAGAGACGTGTGGGTCCTTCAGGGCGCAGGATATAAATGGGATGTAAACAGACGGCTCCCGAGCTCACTGAGGGCTCTGATAGAGGTGAGGGTCCCGGCGTGTCACTGGAAGGCACCCTGAGCCTGTGCCTGTGCCTATTTCTCGGCATCCCCAGCCCCCTGCACGCTGTGTGCTGAGCCCGGATAGGGGGTCTCACCGTGGGTCCGGTGGGCCTGGCAGGTTCAGGGGGGCCGGGAAGCCCCTCCCCAGCTTCGGCCTAAAGAGAACAAGAAGGTCAGTGGAGTGCTGGTCACACCCCCCTCCACACACACACACACACACACACACACACCGTCCCCACACCCCCCTCCACACACACACACACACAC